AATGGTCTTTCGGAACGTTCCCCCGGCGTTCTGTGATTTTTGTCGCGAAAAAAGTTTTTTCGCTTTTCTTTAGGCCAAAACTTTTTTCACTGTTTCACTTAATGATTGCGGGTTTTGGGACTAAATTTAATTGATTTATAGGGAAAATGGTGAATTTTAGGATTGGAAAGAAAGTTCTTGCCATTTTTTGTATTGTAAAGAAATTTTTTGCCATTTTTTGTTTTGTAGAGAAAGTTCTTGCCATTTTAATGAAAAAGTAAACTAGTTGTGCGTTCTGCAGGCTGCGGGTGACAGTTTATACGATGAATTTTATTTTCGAGTGAATTAATGAAAGTTCTTACCATTTTTTGTTTTGTAAAGAAAGTTATTGCATTTTTTACATCCCCACGATTGTTTTCATTGTAAATGACATTGTTTTTTGCACCCAAATACCAAAAATTGTTTTACTTTGTAATTTCATCACTCCTTATCACTGTTTGTCACTATTTTGGGATCGGAGGTCGAGAGTCGTGGTTTTCATGTGGTTTAGTCGACAAAACATCACCCTAGCTGGACTGTTTTTGATGTTTGCGTTGCTGGTCTTTGTGGTTTTGATTTTCAAAGTTGAAAAAGTTAAAGTTTGTTTTATAGACGGGTCAAAAAGGGCAAGAACTTTACTTACAAAGATAAAAATGGCAAGAACTTTCTTTACAAAACAAAAAATGGCAAGAACTTTTTTTACAGCACAAAAAATGGCAAGAACTTTCTTTACAGCACAAAAAATGGCAAGAACTTTACTTACAAAGATAAAAATGGCGAGAACTTTCTTTACAGCACAAAAAAGAGCAACGACTGTTTTTACAAACCACGTTTTTTCAAAATATTTTAAGTTTTTTAACCAAACGTTCAAAAAGTTCAAAAGCAACAAAAAGAGCGGTCTCTGTGGTTCATAATTACATTTCCAGTAGCAAAAAAAAGTATAAACAAGAGTCTGTTATGTCAACTATCAGCTGAGTTGAGGGATTATTGGGTACAACTTCAGTAATTTCGATAAAGAAGGCTTTTTAAAGTTGTAAAGGAAGTTCTTGCCATTTTATGTTTCGTAAAGGAAGTTCTTGCCAACTTTTTGTTCTGTAAAGAAAGTTCTTGCCATTTTTTGCTTTGTAAAGGAAGTTCTTGTATTTTCTCTCAAAAATAACCAAAAAAGTGTGTCATGCAGCTTGCAATTGACAAGTTATACGATAAATAGCATTTTTTGTTTTGTAAACAAAGTTCTTGCAATTTTCTACTATTACACTAAATTCTCAACCACTTTTTTTCACTTCCAGCCATCTCATTATCTACAAAACCAATATTTTCCTTCAAACTCCTAAAAGTACACCCTTCTTTATGACAAGTTCAAAAACGGAAATTCTTCTTGGAAATGGGCGTTATATTGTAAAAGGTTGTCAGGATGACGGTAAACAAGTAGGATCATTAATCAGTGCGAATCAGGTGGTTCGATTACCAATAATGTTCCAATTTTTCCTGACTTTTGTTACCTAAACTTTTGCCTTTTATATTTGTTGTTTGATTTTAGTGGAGGTTTGAGGGGGGGGGGGGCGTAATGAAAGTTCTTGTCGTTTGTTTTTACTTTTTAGGGTTTAGGTTTAGTAATTAGTAAAACTTTGGACGTTTTGGTTTAGTAGGTTTAGCTTTTTTAGGCTTTTTAAGCTTTATCTTGTAGGCTTAGGGTGTTAGGCTTTGGCTGTAAGGGTTTGGCTTCTAGGCTCTGGCTACTAAGTTTAGGCTTAAACTTCTGTTTTGTAGGTTTTTCCTTATTAAGGTAAGGCTTAGGCTCAGTAGTGTTAGACTTCTTGAATTCCTTGGGTTAACTTTAATAAACTTAGGTTTAGTAAGCATATGTTTAACAAGCTTGGGATACGTAGGATTTGTCTTAATAGGCATAGGCTTCTAAGCTTAGGCTTCTATGCTTAGGCTTCTAGTTTTAGGCTTCTAGGCTTAAGCTTCTAAACTAGGCTTATAGGCTTAGCTTTACAGGGCTAGGTCTTGTCTTTTCTTCTAAATATAATCTTCTAGCCTTAGGCTTAAGTTTTTTGCTCGCTTCCACTGGGCTTAAACTTATTAGACTTAAGCTTACTAACGACCAGATTTTTTTTAAAATTAAGCAAAAAATTGGTCGTTTCTAAAATATTTTGTCCTTAAACTTCACGTTTCAACCCTTTTTTTTATTTTGACCCCACAACGTTTTTTCCATTCTTTTCCTCTTATTGCCAACCGGCTGGCCCGTTTTTTCGAATGATTCGACGTTCGGTCCAGCTGACCTGTTGCGTTTTTTTTTCTGGCCAATTTCATGAAATTTCGTTTTTTGGGCGCCTTTCGAACTGCAATAAAAACTGGAAACGGCAAGAGTGGGGTGGGGGTTTTGCTAATGCTGTGTAAAGAAAGTTTTTGCCATTTTTTGTTCTGTAAAGAAAGTTCTTGCCATTTTAGGTTTTGTAAAGAAAGTTTTTGTCATTTACTTTATAAAATAACAAATTGTGGTCTTCTACAGCCTGCCAAGTTATACGACAAATACAAGTATAAATTTTAGCTTCGTAAAGAAAATTCTTGCCATTTTGTTTTGTAAAGAAAGTTCTTGCCTTTTTTTGCTTTGTAAAGAAAGGTTTTGCCATTTTTGTCTGTAAAGAAAGTTCTTGCCATTTTTGGATTTGTAAAGAAAGTTCTTGCTATTTTATGTTGCGGAAAGAAAGTTCTTGCTATTTTTCTTTGCCGTGACTTACACTTGCTCTATCCCTACCTTGCTCTGACTTACCCTTTCTCTAGCTCCTACCTTCTTTTTGTGTCAGGATCAATCTTGCCCTGCCCACTAGTTTGTTATTGTAACCTCATCTTTACCTTATCCGCTAGCTTATTCTAATTTTAGGATAACCCTTATTCTACCCGCTAGCCTATCTCGATTTTAAAATTATCCTTACCCTACCCACTAGCCTATCTCAACACAACCTTTGCAAACGTTCTTTTTTGTTCTTTTCACTTTCTCCCCTACTATTTAATGTCTTACTGTTCAAGTTTCGGGAAAAGGGGGGATGTGTGTTAGGGAAGGGCAGCCAGCTGGCGTGTCCCCTAAAGTATTCCGTTTTTCTTGTCGTTCTAGCCGTTCCGAAAAAAGCGAGAGGGGAAGAGAGAGTGTTGCTTGTTAGGCTTATCTTTTCCCATTTTTTTATTCGATTCGAGAGTCTTGATTGGAAAAGACATTTTTTATCGCTTTTTTGGGAACAATCCACCTGAAACGTGATGCCACAGGGGTTGTGGGGTCGAGACGTGGTGGTTATGGGGGTTTTGGAGTAGAATCGGCTTGGCTATGGCGTTTTTTAGGCTAGATATTTAAGGGTCTTTGGTATAGACGCTACTTGGTTATTGTGTTAATTAGGGTAGAATCTCCGCTTTTTTGAAATGAAAAAATTATTTGGCTGGGGTTTTTGGGTCGAAACGTGGTGGCTATGGCATTTTTAGGGTGGATACTTGTTTTTGATATTTATTTTTGGGTAAATATTTGTGGCTATGGCTTTTCAGGCGTAGATACTTGTTAGATATGGCGTTTTTAAAATGAAAAAAAATCTTTTTGCTGAGAATTTTAGGGTCAAAACATGGTAATTATGGCTTTTTTGGAATCAAAACGTTGTTTTTCTTCGGGTTTATTGGTTGTAACGTGGTGGTTATAGCACTTTTAAGGTAGATATTTCTTGGCTATAGTGTTTAGAGAGGTAGAACCTTTTTGGCTATGGCTTTTTGTCGAGTTATAAACGTTGTTTGCTGGTGTTACTGGTCAGTAGATCTCGTTTTGTAGTAGATACTTGTCGGATCTGGCGGCTTTGGGTTGAATCAGCTTCGCTATGGTTTTTTTGGGGCTGATACGTGTTGGCTATTGTGTTTTTGATAAAATTTTCTTGGCTATGGCTTTTTTTTGTAAAAAATTTGTTTTTCTTGGAGTTTATGGGCCGAAATGTGATGGCTATGGCGTTTTTGGGGCAGATATTTTTTTGTCGGCGGCACTTTTAAGATAGTATTTGTTGTTTATAGTGTTTATGGTTTTAGAATTTTCTTGGCCCTACAGCAATTAATTCGAAATTTGGCCTAAAATCAAGTCCATATCTTTTTTTGTTGGAAACCGGCTCGAACGTATGTTCCGGCCGCTCATCAAACAGCTGTTCTCGGCTTTGCTTTAGGTCTAGTGTTTTTTGTGTTTGAAACTCTTTAATTGGACAGGGATTTTGAGTTAATCTGTCTCTTTGGAGACCTCGCCAACAGTCATAGTTAATTATAATATATATCCATTTTATTACCACTTTATGTTTTTTTTCTTCATTATCTATATTTATTCATAGAAGCCTAATATTGCTAATTAAATTACCGCGATCACATGGTTCATCAGTTTCCATCCGTGTTTTGGACTTATTGTTGTGTATAACACCTGTACTTTGCTTATTAAAGTGTTTATAGAGATGTTATGAATATAATACCATCAATTTACTATGTCTTGTAGGGTAGCTACGGTAAAGCAGGCTTAGTATTTACTTTTATAACAGCTGTGTTTTCTATTTTTTGTCTGTTTTTATAGCCTTAGGTTTACTTATCGACTTTGTTTTAACTTAGGCTTAAGCTCAGGCTTAAAATTTAGTTTCATGTTATTTTAGGCTCATCTTTAGGTCTAAATTTTGTTTTTAGGCTTAAATTTTTTTTTGGTGTTTTAAGCTTACTTTTAGCCTTCAATTTTTGTTTTAGTAAATATTACTTTTAAACATTTTTTTGTTGTTTTAGGCTTATGTTTGGCTTAAAAATTTTTTTACTATCTTAGGCTTACCTTCTAGCCTTAAATTTTGTATATTTTGTAGGTTTAGGCTTAAATCCGCGTGTTTTTATAATACATATAGCTAATCTTGTTGTATTGTAACTCTCCTATTTTCAGACTGTGAGCCCCTCGGGAACCCGAACTCGTCCCCCCTCCTCAACATCCCCAAATGACCAACTTTGACGAGAACACAGAGGGCGGATCAACCACCCCGGCAATGGGGTGAGTACTTTTTTTAAATTACAGTTTTGGTACTGAGTTTTTAAGTGATTTCGGCAGGGGATGGGAGTGGGTATGGCAATGGTGGGGTTGTGGTACTGTAGAAGTACTGTAAGTTAAAGCTACGGTTATTAAGAAAAACGTTGGGATAGCATAAGGTAAGGCAAGGCAGGTGATTATAGGATACATTAAGGTACGGTAGAGTAGAGCAAGGTAGTATAGGATACTTTAATTAAAGATAAAGTAGTATAGTGCAAGTTTACTGTAATATTTACATATATACTTCAGATTTGCACCACAGCTGCAGTCGAGAATCTTGGGGGAACAACGGTTGATGGCCGAAGCCTCATCCAGCAACAACAACATTCAACAACAACAACACACGAATCCCAGCAGCAGGGCGGCGAACAACAGTAGGGACAGGAAGTACGGTCATCGTACGGTTGCCAGTGAAAATGGTACACTTTTCAGCGAAGATGGTACACTTTGCAATGAAAATGGTGCGTTGTGTAGAGAGAATGGTACCAGCTACCAAAATAGTACCGAGATTTCAAATTTGGAAAATGGTACTAATGGTACACTTTGCTCAAATCTTAATTATGACAACAATTGGAGCGTGCCGGACGTTGGGAAAGGCTACGCCGCTTCAAACGAAGCTAAATTTCAACTACCAGTCGGTACCAAAAGCGATTACCAACTGGTACAACATTCAAATCATCAGTTTATACCCAATCAAGCCGGTCAACTATCGACCAGTCGACTTTCAGCCGACTCCACCTTAACTGCAACTCAAATCGACCGGTCGAGTCAACTGTTGGCCGACCAGTCCAGTCAAGACGACCACGATGACAACAACTCTCTGGTCGGCTCGGCCTCACCCAAGTCGTCCTCACGATCCTCCTCTCGTACCTCACCAGCACTAACTCAGCATCGTGTCCAGTTCGACCCAAAAACCCCGCAGGACGTGGAGGACCGCAAGTTGCGGCGACAAATCGCCAACTGCAACGAGCGACGGCGAATGCAGTCCATCAACGCCGGCTTCCAGTCGCTGCGCCAGTTTTTGCCGCAGAAGGGCGGCGACAAGATGTCGAAGGCGGCGATCCTGCAACAAACCGCCGACTTGATATTGAGTTTGAAGGCGGAGAAGGAGCAGCTGAGTGCGCAGATTCAGTCCGGTCTAGGTGGGATGGGGCAGAACGTTAGCCACGGCCAAAATCTGGCTGGAAGTCTGGCTAAAAGCCAAAACTTGGGCCAAAATCTGGCTCAGAATGGGAACTTAGCTGGAAATCTATCCCCGAATGCGAATTTACCTCAGCCACAAAGCCAGCTAGTCCAACAAAATCAGCTAGCCCAGCAAAATCAGCTCAACCCACCCTCCGATCCCAGCATTTCCAATCGCACCACGCCCAAGAAACGTCGGATGGAAGAGAAGGAGGCGGCCGAGGATGTTACAGTATACCTAAAGACCATCGACGACCTGAAACAAGCCTTGAATCGAGAACAACAGTTGAGGATTCTGTATGAGAAGGAGCTTCTGGAGTCGAGAAGGGTCGCAAACCCATTAGCTTTGGACCCCAACTTGCTTAATATCGGTGATTTGTTGAGAAAGAATGAAGGTAAGGGTAAGATGATTAGGCCTAGAATTTATTTTTAAGCCTAACGTTTGTTGTACAGACTTAAAATTTTATTTTTAGGCTTACAATGCGTTTTGACATTTATTTTTTAAACCTAAAATTTACTTTAAACTTACAGTTCATTTTATAAGCCTAAAATTAATTTTTAAGCCTAAAAGTCCTTTTATAAGCCTAAAATTAATTTTATAAGCCTAAAGTATAATTATAAGCCTAAAATTAATTTTTAAGCCTAAAATTCATTTCATAAGCCTAAAATTCATTTTTAAGCCTAAAATTTATTTTATAAGCTTAAAATATATTTTTTAAGCATAAATTTAATTTTTTAAGCTTAAAATTCATTTTTAAGCCTAACGTTTATTTTTTAAGCCTAAGATTTATTTTTAATCCTAAAATTCATTTTTTAAGCCTAAGCTAAGCTTAAACTTCACTTTATAAGCCCAAACTTCATTTTATAAGCCTAAACTTTATTTTAAGCCTAAAATTATTTTTAAGCCTAACAATTGTAAGCTTAATTTTAGAAGCCTAACGTATTTTACCAAACCTAAAATTCATTTTGTAATCCTAAATGTAGCACCTTTTTCTAAAACTTATTTTTCAGCCCTCCAAAGCCCACGCCAGCACGAACAACTCAACATTCTGACGCCGAACAAAGAACTCGGCAGTCCATCGAACTTGGCCGGCGATCTGTCGCCGTTGATGAATGCTAGGAAAGCCGTCCTCAACTCGGCTCTCCTTCAACGACAAGGCCTTCAAGGGCTTCAGAATACTGTAAGTTATAAAAAAAATATTTTTAAAGTAGGGTAGGGTGGGGTAGGCGCTTTTAAAAATTCATTCGAAAAAAGATTAATTTCTGCGGATTTTGATATGGGTTCGGTAAAATTACTGTAACTTTTAAAGTTTTGCGAATTTTAAAATTCTGTTTTATGGAATTGTTACCTAAGTGAATGATCTATATATACTATAAATTTAAAAGTTTTATCTTGTTTATGAAAAAAAGTTATGATTTAAAAAATTTAAATTTAGGTTCTAAAACTATTTTTTATGGGGTTTTACGTCACTTTATGGCCATTTTATGTTGATTTTAGGCTTATGTATTACCTAAAATGATATTTTCTATAATTTAAAGCGTTTTACAGTATTCAAGATTTATTTTTTCAAAAGTTTCGAATTGATTTAATACCTAAAGTTGTAATTTTTAACTAAAAAAAACTTCAATTTTCCCCAATTTCAGGCCGAAGTCTCGACATCTCTGCAGCACTCCCTAACCAACAACCTTCTCTCGTCCCAACAAAGCCTTCTGAACCCGGCCTTCCTCAACGCCAACCTCATCAACACCCAGTCCGACATCAGGTCCATGAACTTGTCATTGGCCTTCACCAATCCTCAACAACGGGTGGTGACCACCACGGTGCAGACGGCTGCCAACAACTCGGTGCAAGCCTCATTGTTGGCCGAAAATCGAAATTTGAATGCACTTCTGGAGGCGATTCGCCAAATTGAAGGAGCCAACTTGAACTCTCAGATCCCGGTTCAACAGCGACTGGCGCCGAGCAATGGGTTCAACGTGCCGGCCAACGTGCCCAGCTCACAGAATGGGAATACCGATCTGTTGGTGCGATGAACTGATGGATCTTTGTACTGAGGAGTATATTTGGTACTGAATAGTAATGGTAGTACTATATAGTACTAAGAATACTAAATAGTAATTAATAGTACTGTTTTACAAACTCATCTTACCAGTACTATGAACTTGCTGGCCTTTTCGTATTAAATAGTACTCTTCGTACTAAATAGTACTTTTAGTACTGTCGACACACCGGGCTCACAAAATCAAACTTTTTTGTAGCCTGTGGGGGTTTAAATCGGTAAAATGCTAAATTAAGGCCATTTTTGCATATGTTACACCTTAAAATGCATATGGTACACTTTTAGGTACTAAATAGTATTGGTGATACTAAATAGTACTAATGGTACTAAATAGTATTGATGATACTAAATAGTGCTAATGTTACTAAAAATTACTGGTGGTACTAAATAGTATTCAAAAATAGGTTATTTAGTACAAAAACTTATTTTACCGTCGATATGAACCCTCGCACGGCCCCCACACATATTATACTAGGTAGAGCAGAAATAGAGGTAGTAACGATTGTTTTTAGTCTAATCTTGTTGTGTTGAGTGCAATTTCGAAACGATCCTCTTCCGGAATGGTGCACTCTGATGACCTCCCCCTTTTTTGACCCACTCTCTTCGATTTTTACCCACAGTTTTCTTTTTTAGCCCTCCCCACCTCCCCACCTCTTGATCTACCCTTTTTTATTTTTACCCCACTCTACCCCACTACCCCATCGATTGTCCCGTATTTGTCTTCCCCATCGTTATTTTTGTCCCGACACTCCATCGATTGATCCCCACCCTCCATTTTTGTCCCCACCCCCTATTTTTGGCCCCTTTACCACACTCTTCTTAATGACCTCGCTCTACTTCTTCTCATTCAAACATGGGCCAATGGTGCCGAATCGAATGCCATTTTATATAGACTGGTTGTAAAAACATTGGAAAGTAATGTGTTATACCTAATTTTATCATTTTTTGGCTACCATTCTCTTTGTTCAAAAAATTCTGAGCTACGAAACTTCGCAAATTTGCTTTGAGTATGGCGCAGAATTTTTTGAACAGCCGGAATTCAAGATAACTCAAGACGTCGTAAATCAATATGTTCAAAATTGACGTATTTTACCCTCGAGGCATCTACCAACCATATTTTTACACCAAATCCATATAAACAGGATTCTTTCGGCACCTATACCCATGAAAAATATTATACTGTCGAGTCATTTTTAAGCAAAGAATTAATCAAAACCCCGATGATTTTTGGTAATCTAATTACAATTTAGGTGATATTACGTTTTTCTAAGGTAGCTAGCTTAATTTTTGAGTTTTTAAAATTTCTCGGTAATTTCAAAGTTTCCGATATTAATTTAGGTCCTTTGATATTACTTTAGGTAACATTATTGATGAATTTAAAACGTTTTAGATAGATTCCTAATTAAAGCTTATTTAGATTTGAATTTTAGATAGTTTTTACAAATTTTAATCAAGTCTAGTGGCCTGGAATGGCCGTTTATTAAACAAAAACCTCAAAAAACAATAATTTTATTAATAAGATCGGATCTTAATAATCTTCTTTTTTATTGTTGTCCCAACTTGTTGTTATGTTGTCGCTGTTGTTGTGATCACATTTTAGGCCTCTTGTTGCAAACTTTTGACTGTTTATTGTTATTAGTAGTCTTGTTACCCAGAATTGTTAATGTAGGTTGTTCACGAAATGGCAATAATTTCTTAAATGGTTAAATCTTGAACACAAAGGCCAATAAATATGATTGAATTGAAAATTTGGAGTTTTTGAACTATTATTTGTATTTTAAAATTGTGTTTCGAAAAAATAAAAAATTTAAAAGCACAAGTAGCTGCGCTTGGTTCCACCACGAAAATAAGGAATGCGAAAATCCCCTGGGTGTTCTGTTTTAGCTGTACATTTTTATTTTATTCTTCAAAAATTGTTGTTGTTTACAGACAAATCGACTGATATAATCACGTGAACTGTTTTTATTAGCTTTCAATTGAGAAGTCACCTACCAGTCGTTACATCAATATTTTTATTTGAATTTGTAAAATTTGAAAATGGGTAATGTGGTGAACAAAGATGTTGATACGCCAGCAGTTTTAAAGGATGTAAGTTGATTTTATTTGTTTTATGTTGATATTTAGGCAAAATTTTAGGTTATGAGATGAAGTTTCAAAGCTTTTTTTGATTTTCTGTGAAAGATGTCATGTGCAATATACTTTTCGATATAAAACCTTGGAAGGTGTTTCAATTATTCTAATTTTCGTTAAAATACCTTGCTTAATATCTTCTATAGCTAATATAACTAATTTAAACTTACAGGTCAACGATTATCCGGTAGTAATGTACACAAGACCATCATGTGGGTATTGCAAACTGGCGAAGGAAATATTGCTAGAAGAAAATGTGTTATATCGAGAGAAGGACTTGAATTTGCATAAAACAATGCATCCGGAAGATGGAATGGTAAGTTTTCATGTTCTTTTCATTGTTTTATGTTTAGAAATACATAAATGGATTGATATACCATACCAGAGTTACTACAGTGCCGCAGATCTTTATTTGTGGGGAATTTATTGGCGGTAAGTTTGTGAAAACGATCTTTATAGTTTCGCTAAGCTTTGAAAGAAGTAAAATGATGTGATTTGTGTCTTTTCATGTTGTAAAGCATATTTTACATTAATTTTCGACTAAACATAGCTTTTCTCTGAGTTTTTCCGCAGTTAGCGAAAAATTGGGCGCAGTTTGCGTTTTCTTGTACTCTACGTGCGTTTTTGTAATTTATTACGAATTTTAGGCTTCACGGAATTGAAAAAACTGCGCGAAGAGGGAAAACTATGGTCCACGATTGCCAAATGTAAAGATCAATACGATCGGAAGCCAGTTGTCGATGTTCCATGAAGCTCATCTGATGTGTAATATAATTTGGCCAATATCTTTTGAAACGTGGATTTTTATGAAGATTTAAGTTTATAGGAATTTGGAACTACTTCTTAGGGTGCTATATTAGCAATATAAACATGTTAGACCAAGTTGTTGGGCATGCTTCATTGGTTAGGATGTTGTAATAGGTATTTAAAGATACATTTTTATTTTTTGAGCAATCTACTCAATTTTTTAAGGTTTCTTTGTATTGTTAGGATTATATTGTTCATTCTAGACGTAAACAAAATATTTTTGTAGTGTTTGACATGTTGTACTGTAGATCCAATGGATTTTGATCACTTAATAAAGGATAATATCGTGAGCAATATTGTACTCGGTCTTTAAAGGTCCATGTCCGTGTCGTTATATATTTGTACAGTTTAATGCGTGTCGAGGTTATTTCTTGCGTGTTAAAGTACTTTACTACGGTTTTTGTTTGGTTTGTTTACAGTAATTGGTTGTGGGAAGGTTTGTACTGTGAGGAGAAGGTTGGTACTGTAAGCAGAAGTGTCTAGGGTTTTTATTGTGAATAATATGTTTTATTGTGAAGAACTAAACGTATTTGTTTTACAGAAGGTCTACTAAAGGAATCTGTGATAATACTTTAGGCAGTTACGACGGTTTTTGAAGATATTGTAGTAGGTATGGTAGCTGAGATAAACTGGGATTTAGGCTTGATTTTGCTATTATTTAAGCGCAAGCTTGATATATGGTATGTAGTTTATTTTTACGCTGATTGAAGCTATAATTTTTAAAGTTTCAAAAAGTTTTCAAGCTACAGTACATTACTGTACCCTATCGAAAGACTAACGAGCCTAGACAGCCTATGCTTAACTTTTGCTTAAAACACTAAAACCACAAGAAATCGATAAAATAACAGAAAATATTTACTCGAACACATAATACGGTATACTGTAATTTTTTGGGGGGATGGATACGAACATAATATTATAGGCAATAATGATCTCGACGGATCGACACACTCCAATTGAGCCAGAACTAGGTGAACACTCACGGGCTTCTATTTTCCGATGCGAGTACGGTAGACCTGGCGCTTGCCAATTCGTGCCACGTACATTCGCTTCACTTGAAAGTCGGGCGACGATTCTACGGCGCCTCTGAAAATGGCATGGGGTTAGTTAGGTTTGGGGGTGTTTTTGGAGAAGCTTAAGGTTAAGATTGATGTATAAGGGTAGGATAAAGGATAGGAATGACTTTGAGTTTTAAGGCTGAGATAAAGGATAGGCCGGTAGGATAGGGTAAGGTAGGATAGGTTAGAGTAAGGTAGGGAAGGGTAGAGTAGAGTGTGGTAAGATAGGGTAGGGCGAAGCCCCACGTACTGTTTTTGAATGAAATATTCCAGCTATTGCTGTGGTAAAGACATTGCTAATATACATTAAAGATAACACTTATGCCATTCAAAGATACCACTTACACTAGTGAAAGATATTACCTAAGCATTAGAAATATAACAGCAACAAACGATTAAAAATATGTTTACAATAAAATACTGTAACACCCTGACGACACTTTGTACATGTTAAAATGATAACACTGTTACGTTTATAAAGTGTCACGGCATAGTTTACAAGATAGTTTGCGTGTGCATACGAAACAGCTAAATATATATTTTAGAATCTGTGGAAAATTGCTGTAATGTGGAAGTATTACTGTAAAAGTAAAAGACGTAGTAAAACAGAAAAAAATGGGGAGAGGGAAAGTCAAAAAAATTTTTGTCGCTGCGACAAAAAATTTTTATTTTTTTTGTGAATTGGTACTTACTACGAATATTTTCTTGCTAGCAATCTCTTACTCAATTACTAGACCACAACAATACCTAATTGACTACCCTTCTACAATATAAAAGCGTGTAACCATAATTGCGAAAAACTTGTCGGCCAGATCACGGCACGGTGTGTAGCGTGCGAAAGGTTATGTTTTTTTTCGCGCGCACGATACGAATTTGCGTGCCAAGTGCCTACGAAACGTAGTATCGAAAATAGCCCGTTTTGTAGTAATTGGCCGGTGTAAGCGGTGAAATTTGTAGTAATTATGCTGTGATATTATATTCGGGAAGTTGTGACTAGACATGCATATGAGGGTTACAGTGTGCGTACGTATGAGAGCTACGGTATGAGTGCGTATGAGGGCTACGGCATGAGTACGTATGAGGGTCACGGTATGAGTAGGTATGAGGGTTACGGTATGCGTAATTATGAAGGTTGAATGTATGAGAGTTAAGTTATGAGTATATATTCTTCAACTTACCGTTTGAATAGTGGATATACTCGGTTTGGTCGGTATGTGTCTTGGCTCTCGCTGCTTAGATCTGGAAAAAACAATATTTTAATTTGCGTAATAATCTTTTTTTTTTAATTTCAAAAAAAAATACAAAAATTTAATTATATTGCTCAAAAGCACTAGTACTTGAAGTATAATACCCAAAAGCATTAGCACTTGCATCTTAATGCTCAAAAAGCTCACCTGCTCGATTATCGGGCATACCGAGGGGTTTTGGCACGTAGAATCGATCAGGGTATAGTCCTTGTGAGTTGGCGGCGACCAAACATAAACATAGGGTTAGGGAGACGGCGATGGTGTTCATGACTGACCCGAAATCTAGCGGCGATTTTAATGAGGCTGAACATTCGAGTATGAGTAAGATCAAAGTTTGAAAAAAATTTAAAAATTTTTCACATGTATAGAGCTCTAAAATTTGTAAAATCGCGAAATTTACAAAACGCCCATACTAAATGAGGTATAAACCATAAAAGTAAGTCCATACTTAAACCATAACCACAAGTAAAGTAGACCGTGCAACACGCAGCCGGCCTCCAGGTTATAGTGACACGAAATGAAAGAAGGATTTCAGCGAAAGCTCCATGATGACTTTCTTGGAGGTGTAGGTAAAGCCGGAAATGTGAGCAGAGCACGCCATTTTAGGTAATTAAGTTTTCTTACTGGTGAACGTGAGGAAGTTGGGTGTAACGTTTGGTGAGGTAATGGGGTCAAGGGGGTGAGGTTTTTTCTGGCTTGAGGTGGATGTGAAATTGCTTTTTCTGTCTTTAAGTGAGAGTGGAGTAGCTTTTCCAGCTCAAGACGGATGAGAGATGGGCTTGGCCGGGAAAAATCATGTAAAATACGAAAGATGCCAAAAAATCACACCTATAATCTGACCAAAAAGATTTAAAAACCCAAGCCTAAAGTGCTTTAAAAGATGCTAAAACCTAAACCCAAATTTAGTCCAAAGAAATGTCAAAACTAGCCTGAATTGGTCCCATAAGACAAATGCAAAAATTGGAAAGTGCGAGACAAAAATTTTAATTGCCTAGTGCAAAGTTCAGACTTGTCCTGTTTATGCACTAATTATTTGATTAGCATTCCGGTAACGAAAACACAAAACTTGGCAACTATGTAATGACATAATTGGCCTTAAAAATACTTTTTTTTCGATTTATGGTCTGGAATGGGGAAAAATGGGGATGACAAATAAGTTTGAGTAAAAAGAAATATCACTTGGCGTCTAACATGATAATATTAATATACTGTAGAACTCTTGTATAACGAATCGCTCGATGATTTGAAAGTTGTTCGTTATAAGAGTTTCGTTGAACAGGAGTTACCCTATAGCTTAATCAAAAACTGGTAAAAACAAGATAATTTGAAATAAAACGGTCAATAATCAAAGAAATACTGATCAAGTTGAAGTGATTAGGCGAATCCATTAACTCTTTCGTATTTTCATTAACTTTAGTTAGTGAAAATACGAAAGAATTAATGGATCTGCCTAATAACTCAACTTTGATCAAGTATGACATCGCAAAAAGCCACAAAGTAAAATAAAAGTATACTTTTTTACTACCCAAACCCACAGTTATTTGACTGTCAAACAACTCGTTGTAGCGATTGTCAAACAACTCGTTATACCGACAACCAAACAACACAATTACCGTCCAATAAAATACAATAAAAATATTTTTTCGTCAAACTTTGCACGCATTAATAAGCGGCCGAAAACTCCGCCCGCATCACCGTGAAACGCACGCTTTTCGCAAAAATTTTTAACGCCCATAGACATTGGATATGGTATTAAGGGTGAAATGTTAAACCATGACGCGATAAAGTTGTTATCGAAACGGGTAAACAGGCTGATGAAAAGTCATCGTTTCCGGTCGATGATGAGGTTTTGGCATGAGCTTTGTAGGCATGAGCTTTGTAGCGATGTCTGTTTTAAGACAGCGGGAGTAAATGAATGTTATATTGTCATAGGCACCTAAAGATGGCCTGGTGATCAATATAATGTTAGACCTGTTAAAGTATTAACAATTTTTTAGTATATGATACCAGAATATGCCAATTTGACGGTTTCAAATGTTCGGGAGGGGTTTAAAGTTTCACAACTTTAAAAATGACAATGCAACTCCTGTATAACGAATCGCTTGGGGATTAGAAATTTGTTCGTTGTACAACGTTTTCGTTATACAGGCGTTCAAATGTATAAAATTGCTACAAAAGCTCATGTCAAAACCTCATCGTCGACCGGAAACGATGACTTTTCCTCAGCTGTATTATCTAAAGTAAGCTAGCCTGTTTATGTTACCAAAAATAATTTACCATAATTAGTTGCAACTTTTCTTAATCTACTTGGTTAAAAATTGTACGGCAAAAGTAATTTTGAAAATAAATGACGGCGTATAAAAATCGACATTGTAAAACCACGTAATCCAAACACAGTAAACTATAAATACATGTTTTTCGTTGTTACAGAAACTTTCAAAATTTACGAAAACTATCACGTGACAATCTCAACGTAATCCTGTAGTCCGGCTGGATTAAAAATAACTGCAGCTATATATATCTTAACTTATTTTAAGTCGGTTTTACGGTACTTAGTCCTCGTAGGCTTGGGCTTGATTACGCTTCTAAGCTCAGCCTTTGTTGGCTTAGTTTTTGTAGGATTAGGCTTGAACTTGGTAGGTTTCGGCTTCTAAAGCATAAGTTAGTAGTTATCGTTACCCAAAACAAAACCCTGTTAATTTATTTAGACCTGGTACTCTTATTCTCAGTAGAGCATATACATAGTAGGAATGGCAGAGCTCACTGTGTTAGTAGAGTTTTGCTTAGTATCTTCAGGCTTATTAGGCTTAGTACGACGACGTCAAAAACCTCACAGACAAACGCTGTAACAAACAGAATGGTTAGAAAACAGTTCCACCTCTAATAGAGCACGTTCCGTTTGCTCTCTAAGATCTTAGAAGCGTAGCACGTTCTCCGAACTAACTCTGCACGGCAAAGTATAACGCACTTGATACAATAATCGTCTGGCGAGCTTGGTCTACGCGTTAACACAGCTCTGTCTAGCCGTTAAATAACACTAAACTTTCCCACGATTCATACGAAAATCTGCGCAGCCCAAAAATACTACGAAATTGGCGAATAATTGATTAGAAGGCTTATTAATTAAACAGTTTGTTTTGGGATTAGCCGTCTACAGTACGGCTTCTTGTACGTTTGCAAGCTTGCACAGTTGGAGTTTGATTGAGTTCCAGAACCGTGTTTATGATGTTATTGTACTGATAGGGGGGTGCTAAGTTTTTGGGGATTAACTATGGAATACAGAAGCTCTTACAATATACTAGACAACTCACCAAAGATTATGGTGTAAAATGAAAAAATTGTGCTTTGGCTTTGTAGGCTTAGGTCAGTAAACATAGACTTCCTCAGCTCTATGTTTTGTAAGTTTGGACTTGGTAAGCTTAGGCTTATTAGGCTTAGGTTTAATATTTTATGGCTTAGTAGGCTGAGGCTTAGTAGGTTTAGATTTAATAGGGTTAGGCTTAGTAGGCGTAGGCTTAAGATTAGTCTTATTATGCGTAAGCTTAATAGGTTTAGGCTTATCAGACTTTGCCCTTATTAGCCTTAACCGTGGCTGGTTTAGACTGCAACGATATAACTACAAACTTTAACTTTATTACCTAAAAATCATCGAAAAGGCAACAAAAAGTTGAAACAAATTATATGTAAAATGAAAAATAGCCATACCACACTAACGTAATGTTTATTTTATGTCTGTGGGGATACTGCTAATTTCCTGGTGAAGAAGGGGACTGGTTCCATTAGTTGCTACGAAACACCAAAATTAAGGACTCATTAGGTCAAGGTGAATGAAGGTTATGGACTTAGGAACTAAATGAGTTACGTTTTAACTATTCGGGGGATCCATTAATTTTTTGAACTTTTTTTGTCAAAAATTTTATTTTTAAAATATGATTAAAAAAATTGAAATGCGAAAAAATTAGTGGTCCACTTAACAGTTAATTTGAACATAGTAGGTTACTATCGTTTTTTTCTAACGTACCCTTACGGTATTGGCTAAAATAAACCCGCGGTACAGTATGGAAAAGCTAATCTCAAGCGTTGTTCAACTAATTCTATGCCCCCACTCAAAGCAAATTTGTGTCGTTATGAGCACAGAATTATGTGAACAACCTAATAGTAAAAGTACGATACCCCATCATTAAAATGCACATCCTATAAATAAGCATGTAGGTACGCATAGCCACTACGTACGCCCGCAACAAAACCCACAAATCTCGAATCCGGGGTGTGGTAATTAATGAAAATTTCGGGGTGTGGGAATGAATCTATTTTTCGAATATCATAAAAATAAATTAATTCATTACCCAGCCCTTCCGGATTGATGACGTCCGTTTGGATAAGATAAATGTCTCAAAAGTCAGCGGAAAATATGGAAAAATAATCAAAAATATTTTGAAAAATAACTGAAAATTGAAAATTTTTGAGGTTCAAAATGCGCAATTACTTTGTTTACAAGTAGGTTTGACAGATGCCATAAGGTTAGGAAGCTCTCGCTAAGTGGCCTATTCTTGACAGGATTAGACTAGGGTTATTAAGCGGAGGTTAGTAGGCATATTCTTACGAGGCTTAGGCTTATTAGGCTTACATTTTGTAGGCTTAGGCTTACTACGTTTCTGCTTAGTAGGCTTAGGCTTAATAGGCCTATTATTCATAGGCTTACGTTAGGCTCAGTTGACTTAGAATTATTAAGCGTAGGCTTGCTAGGATTAAGCCTTTAGGATTAGGCGTAGTGGCTTAAGACTTAGTGGTCTTAGTCTTTGTAGGCTTCATAGTAAGGTTATCAAGCGTTGGTGGGTAGACTTAGTACGCTTAGGCTTAGTAGGCGTAGGTTTAGTAGGGTATATATTCGTAGGCTGTGGCTTAGTACGTTTAGGATACGTAGGCTTTGGATTAGGCCTACTAGACGTAGACTTAAGCCATGTGTAGTCCTTTAAACTAGCTAGGCTTAAGGGGTTTTAAAAAATTTAAAAAAAAGTTAAAAATCTTGTTGACAGTTTAAAAATAGCCTATAAGGCAGCTTTATTTACCCGCTGGCGCTTAAATACGGGACCATGAAGCGCCAAACACGCAATGGTCTCTAACCCAAAGACATGCAACTTTTATTGGAAACGGATTCTGAAGAGTCAGGGGGTTTCCTCAGCTCGAAATGGCAAATCGGGTTAAAGATTAGCGGCCATTTTTGGGGGGTTTGGCCATTTTTCGGCCAACATTTTATTTTTTCAGGTATATTTAATCGTATTTCACACTACATTGCATAATTTTACATTATTTATACCTAAAATTACTAATTTCCTTTTTTTAGGTACCAAAATGCCCAAAATATTCATCATTTTAGTGTACCTCCAACTCCTACTACTGCCAATATCAAGTACAGAGCTGGGTAAAGAGGTGATCAAAAATGGCGGATGGACATTGTTGGACGAAGAACCTATCGAATATTCTGGAGAATGTACTGTAGAACGAAGAGATGGTAAAACATTGACACAAGACGGGTTTCTACAAGAGTAAGTTGCTATAGTGGCTCTTGCTGTTACCGTGGTATTTTTGGTTGAAAAGGGTGGTTTTGGAACTGACAGTTGTTGGAAATGGAATAAAATTGTTTCTTTTCATCTTTTTTGTCGTTAAAAAGGCCTTTTCATAATTTCATGTTTTCGTGGTGGGACCCATGCCATGCCAATATGAAAAATCTTTTTTTAATAAACCTTATTCAGATATGCCTATACGAAACCACTCGTAATTTACAACGTCGAGAACACGGAATTTACGCTTAAAACCAGCCGGCTGGAGATGATGAAGCACTTTGAACATACTCCAGTTACCCTGAATTCGGCCAATACGCATTCATACACTCGAGGTATGGGGTTTTAAATTTTCTTTTGGTTTTGATAGATACTGTGGAATGTTTATTTAATATTGTTTTAGTTCCAACGACCTTTGGCGACTACCTGGACACTCATTTGAAGCCGCAAAGCCTGCAAACCTTGGGAAATGGTAAGTTTTGCCATTTTTAATTTTTTTTTCTAAATTTTCAGGTATAAAAATGACATTATTTAACTAGAAAATTTAAATTTTCATAATAGTTGTACAAATTTTCATGGAAAGCTCGTCTATTTTCGTATATTATCCATGACGTCTCCCTGGTATACGCCAAAGTAATATTTCCGATTGCGTGAGTCAAACTAGTGTAACAAGGCAAAGAAGCATGGCCTGTACGCGCATTCACATTTTAAACATAATGGGTTCAGGGAATTTAATAAATTTTGTATTTTTCGGGTTCTAACACGAAAACTTGGAAATGCCAAGAAACGACGTGATTAAGTGATGAACTATTGTTGCGGTGAACGGGGAAGTAAATGGAATGTTGTAAGGACATTTTAAGTTTTAATTGACTAGAAAATGTCAAGTGCGACTAATTTTTGAAGAATTTAAGTCTTGGCGCGAAAACATTAAAAATAAGGAAAACGACAAACTGTAACGAAAAAATTGTAAAATGGTACCTGGGGAATTATAATTAAAATTCCAAATTTGATTTACAACCAATACTTATACAGTTTTTCAATGTACTGTGTCCCACCACAAACTCAAAAATTGGTTTTAAATCTTAAAAAATAACTGAAAACCCTTTCAGAAACCTTATACCTGTTCGGCGACATCGATCCAGTCCTATGGAAGCCTCTATTATCAGTCTATCAACAACCTAAATGGACTGTACCAGAAATGGAACCAGCTTTGAGTTTTGGCATAGCCGCCGTTGGAACTGGAGTGCCATTTCACTTTCATGGCCCTGGATTCGCTGAGGTTGTTCATGGAAGCAAAGTAAGTGCAAGTGTGGATAAGAGGGGTCAGTTTTGAATTAGGGAGGGGTGGTAAATGGGAGTGGATTCGCCCCTTGAGCTAATCCGAAAAAGATAACAAGATCTTGTTGGTGAAAAAATTTTTAAAAAATTACGAAAAATGAATGCACTTATAGCTAGCTAATTGTAGATTAAAATTTTTTTGGCTTTACCCCCCCCCCCCCCCCTTATTTAAAATTTCAAAAAATTAAAATTTTGGAGGATTCCCAAAAATCCGGGCTGACTGGACTGAAAAAACAACTTTGTACATGTGAAACGTTCGTATTTCAACGTGATTCACGTCGCTTCCCGGCTCAATTTCCTGCCTATTTGAAACATTTTCCCAAAACTTAATTTGAAGCCGCAAATTTGAAGCCATTGTCCCGAAAAAGACATTTTTCAGCCGTTTCCGGGGTCAAATTCTAAAAATATTCCTTAGCCAACCATTCTTCCAGCCTTATCACATAGGCTAATCCTGTATATTCCTTAGCCAGCCTATTACCATTAGCCCAGCCCTATCCCTTCACCAACTTATTGACTTTAGTGCAGTCTTATTCCTTGGCCAGCTTATTAACATTAGCCCAGCTTGTTAAATAAAACCAATAATTTTCAAATCGCAATGGATAAATATTGCCATAGCCAATCCAAACAGCATTTTTGTGATAACATGTTTTTGTAAAGTCGAAACGAAATGCCTTTGCATGTTTTGTTACAAACACGTTTTTAAACATTGTATCACGTGCATGAAATTCCAAAAAACAAAAAAAAATATTTCTTTAATTAAAATTTTAAAAATTTATTGAATTTTCATGGTAATCAACGCCGGAGGGCGATTTTAGTTTAGGAAGGGAGGTCAAAAACTGTTTTCTGTTTTTCATTGATTTTAAAATAAAAACCTCTTCATTATCATTAACAGAATCTATATTTCAGCTATGGTTCCTCACAGAACCGGACAAGAAACCAGTCTTCGATCCGGACCGATCCACTCTCGACTGGTACCTAAATGACTACCCCAAACTGGAGCCAAATCAAAAGCCATTCGTATGTCTGATGAAGCCAGGAGAGTTGATCTACTTCCCCGACAAGTGGTACCATGCCACGTTGAATATGGAGACGTCGGTGTTTATATCAACCTTCCTGTCTGGTACGGCTCCGTCTCGGCCTCGCAATGAACTGTGATATAATCTTGAATGAAAATGTAGGAAAATGATCTTGATTTAAGTTATTGAAGTTTGTTTTTGATCCTAGTAGTACTAAAACATTGTTATCAATTGTCTCTTCGTACTAATAGTAATGTTGTAACTTATACTTTGTATTGAAAAGACCTTGTAATACTAGGGTACATAAATATGATAAATATGCCTTTTAGTACTGTCGTTTCTTAATTTGCTTGTTATTTTGTAGTACTATATATCTCATTGTACTAAAAGTACTAGTGTAAACATAATTGTTCTGTTACTCTTTTTCTCAATATATCATTATTTCTAGTGTGATGTCGCGTCTATTACAATATTCTCGTTTTTATAAGTACCCTTCTGCCTTTAAACCACATTATGCCTTATTAACTTATTATTTAAGTTATTGTCCATGATGATAAATAAAATCAACGTTATAATACTGTTTATAAAGATAAATAAACTAAATCATAAACGGAAAAAAAAAATTTTGACGATAACGCCACATCTGTAACCATCTTTAACAGAAACCCCATTTTTAGCCAAAAAATTAATCGAATAACCAAAAATACATCAATAATACAACTCTAACTTCCTTAAACTTACCCTTTACATCCAAAAACATTGACACAAGTCCTGAGCTTCGGCAGTGATCCGGTTGTTGCTGATGCTCGTTTGGCGGCTTCGACCATTTCCATATTTGACCGACAGTCCTGAAGCACAGTAGAAGCTTGGCACATCTGAAACTTTCAAAATTAAACATTAAAACTATGAAAATAAATTAAAATAATCGTCTATAAACCTATTTAATCAATAAAATAACTTGTCAACTTAAGCCTAACAAAAAAGCCCTCCTTAACTATAAGCCTAAAAAATTTAATTGAAATTAATCAAAAAACTCAATATTCAAATAAAAATTCAAAATTTATTTTTTATTCACAAAAAACCCGCGAAAAAACCGATTTATGCAAATTGACAGCGATTTCTTTCCAAAACGTTCTTTTCGAAAGAAATAAAAGCAAAAGTTTTCGAGCACAGTACACGTGTACTCGCCGAACTGTCGACGTGTTCAGCGGTTTTTTGATTTTTTCCGGGGACGGCGATTTTGATTTTTTTTGGGGGTGTGGTGGGGAGGGGGGGGAGGAGGGGCGAGAGAATGTTTTTTCATTACTTTTTTTTCATAACACATTTTTATGCCTTAAAATTGTTTTTCAAGCCTAAAATAGCGTTTTAAAACCTATAGTTGATTGTCTAGGTCCAAAAAAATCCTGCTCCGGAGAGAAATGCTATCGTGCATTGCAGTGCTGGAGTTGGAAGAACAGGCACGTTCCTTCTCTTGGAACTGCTCCATTTGGCGTTGGAAGGAGGAGAAACGCCCGACCCCATCGACTTGTTGAAGGCTTTGAGGACGCGGCGATGCCACGCCGTCGAAAAGCCACAACAATATGTTTTTGCCGTGTTTTACACGCTCTCCAGAGCTGTAAAACACGGCCACATCACGGCGAAAGAGTTTGAGGGCAAGTTTGAACTATCTGTGACTTCAGATATTTAGTGTAACTGCGTCTTTGTATGCCTGAAAAATAACTTATTTCATTTTTATGTGCTAATCCTATGTTCTTTCAGCTTTTAAAGCCGACTACGAAGCATACGCGGCATGATGTCGTCGTTCTCCACCGCCTCCGGCCATCTCCACCGTCGTCCCCACCGCCTCCGGCCGTCTCCACCATCGTCCCCACCGCCTCCGGTCATCACCACTTCCGGCCATCTCCACCGTCGTCCCCACCGCCTCCGGCCGTCTCCACCATCGTCCCCACCGCCTCCGGTCATCTCCACCGTCGTCCCCACGGCCTCCACCACCGTCGCCTTCTACCATCCCCAGGCTGTCCGCCGTCTTCGTCCCCCCCCCCTTAATCTTGCGTCGTTCTGGCCGTCCTTATTTGATTGTTGTAGCCCCTACCCCCCTCCCCCTCCTTAATGTTTGTTAAACATTCTTATTGTATTCATTTGAATTTATTTAATTAGTACTTTTAATCTGTAAAATAAATTAGTTTTTAAAAATGTTTTTCGTCGTCTTACTTGACTATTACTTTCCTTATTAGAAGAAACATTTTTTAGAACCATTTTTAAATTTTTAACATTAATTTTAAGCTAAGTTTGACCAAAGATTCCCTTCCTAGTCAAAAAGAATATAGAAAAGCAATAAATTCAAATATCAAAACTTACTCATTCTTCTGACTTCAGCACACTTCTTGGTGCAGATGATAAATTGGAGGGACTGAGCAATGGTTTGCTTCAATTATGGAGCATTGTTGGTGATCTGCTTGTTGAGCTCGGAGAGGACGGCCAATTTCAGTGTTGGGATCACGTTTCTGGATATCGTGCTTGGCGTCGGATGAATTCTGGGCGCAACTGTTCGAGAACTCCTCCTTGATTCACTTGACGGCGACATTGAATTATGGGCTGTAGTAATCTGGACACTTTTTGGCCCCTCGTCAAGGTTGACACCAATAAGTTGCGGCTGAAATAGAGAAAATAAGTATACAATAATATACCACTAAAAATGAAATCAATCTCAACGAAAATAGACAAAAAAAGCTTAAATTCAACGAATACTCTGCCTATTTTGAGTCGAAAAGCTGGTCAATTATTTATTTTTTTATTAAGAAAAAGAGTTGACTCAAATTAGTCAAGTGTCTCTTTGAAGGGTTTGTAAAGTGTTTACTGCACAAAAAAAGGGCGATAATAAAAAAGTATATAATATTACATGTTTGAAATAAAATTAACTTTGATATATTAGCAACGAATTATTCATTTTTTAGCTTTTACAGGAGTAATTGGGAACAGCTACAACGGATTGCTCTGACGGTCTTCACCACCCCCTCATCATCTTCCCTCACGTCTTATATATTGAAAAACGGAATAAATAGTTTAGATAGTTTAGAAAACAGGAGTAAAATCGTAAAAATACGGATCAACCACCTTTTTTAAGCCTAAAATACCTCTCAAAATGACAAAACACCAAGTAAAATTCAATAAAAATGAATATGAATACAAATCACCTTGTAAATATAATAATACATAATATATTTTCTATAAGTTAATATAAATTACTATTTCATCAAGTTTAATATTTATTATAATAAAAAGACTAAATGATATTAAAATTGTTATAAAATGATAAAAGAATAATAAAAAATGGCAGGATTCTTGCTATAAGTCAATTGAAATCTTATTGTTATTCCACCTCTAACATTGCACATCCTTTACATTGTCTGGGCAAGCACAAGTGGCACCATGCTGAGTGGGTATGCAAATATGGCAGTTCTCTTTGTTTTGCAGGTTTGTGCATTCATTGGCTTCTGAAAAGAGACAAATTAGATTTATATTACTTCAAAGTGAAACTTTTATTCAAAAATATTTTCCAAATTTCAAGTTATGTCCGTTCTAGCGGCCGTGAATAATCTAGTGGTAAATATAAGGTTGTTCAACTAATTCTGCGCCCCTTAATTCAAAAATTTGCTTTGAGAGGGAGCACACAATTAGTTGAGCCACGTAATAGTTCACCTAAGTATTCAAATAACAGAAAAATTTTTTTTAATTAAACTTACTGCCTTGACAATGAACATTCAAGTTGTGAATACCATACAATTTGCCTTTGCCTGCGGCGCTTGGAATGAAACTGCGTTTGTTGTTGCCGTATACGTCTATCGAGTGGATTTGATGGCTAAAAATGAAGATATTAATATTGAAAATCAAAATTTAAATTCTTTTTCCAAAAACAAAATCTAAACATTAAACCTACTCTTTCCAATCAGTCCAGTAGAAGGTCTCTTCGTTATCATGAGTCAATCCGAATGGATACTCCAATGGTGCATATACGACTCTTCTGTTTTGGCCTTCCAGGTTCGTACAAGCCAGTATCTGTTTTCCAGCATCAACAAAGCACAATTCTCGTCGTTTACTGAGCACCGTAAGTCCATTAGGTAGAGAGATATCATCTCTGATAAAGTCTGGTCTATGATCAGTACCATCCAGATTCAGACGGCCAATATGAGGTCTTTGACGGTACCAGTCAGAGTAGTATAAGTGACGACGTTCTAGGTCAATGGCAAGCGCTCTGGGGTTAACTAGGCCTTCTGTGATCAAGGTCTTTTGGTATTTGCCATCTAGAGTGATTATTCCAATCTCGTCCTTCATTGAATCGGCGTAGTAGATGTTTCTGGCCGTCCAGTCAATTGCTACACCTTCTGGAGACTTTAAGTCAGCCTAAAAACAAAAATAAAATTTTTAAAATTTTTAGGTAACAAATTTTATATTTTTTTCTTTTTAATCAATGGTATATATTGTTATAAGCCCAAACCTAAAAAATACCATGCTTACCTTAAAAACAGTCTGAACATCAGTTCCATTCACCCATGCTGACTTGATTGTAGCTCCACCAATGTCAGACCAAAAGATTCGTTGTGTGACACAATCAAACTCAATATCCACCACGACTTGATGTGGAACAACGACAAGTTGTCGGCCAACTGAATGTTCTCCACTTTCTCTTTCCAGAATCGACATTCCGCGTGCAATCAACAACGATCCCGGCTCGTCTTCGTTTACCGCTAAAAATTGTTGCTATACCTACATTGTTGGTAGTTTTTTAAAATTTTAAAGTCGAAATTTGAAAAAGTGAATTAATAAAAATGCAAAGAAGACAATTCTGCTTTATTAAAACCAAAAACCGTGTTTATATTCATCAAAATATTAAAGTTATAACATGTTTTCCAACTAGCTCCTATATATTACCCATGACAAAATTAAATGCTCTATAACTATTTCAAATAACACTAACTTGTAAAATCATTATATCATTAACATTAACACAACTATAGCACATTTTTCAAAATCCAAGTCTACACCATACAAGCAATAAGTCAAAATATATAAGTTTTCCCTTTTGTCATCCATTCATAATGATTTTTATATTAACCATGACTTAAAATAAAGCCTCAAAACCCTGTAAGACATAAAAACAGCTAATCCTAACATACAGCGATTTTAACCAGACTCTTCCACGTCTTTTAAAACCAAAATCTTATCTACAATCACCCAAACATAAAAGTTATGACCTTTTTCCTACTAACAATCTACTATATTACCGATGATTAATATTCCACCCTAAACCTCCTCAATTAAACTTCAATATATAACTTAAACACAAACAAATACAATCAAAGCTAACTTACGATTACAAACATATCCATTTCCGTGATATCCATAGTTACAGCCACATACATATTGACCTCTAGCATCAGGTACACATTGAGCATTCGGACCACACAAATTCCTGTCTTCCACGCATGTCCTGGCTTTGTCACATCTTTTACCATCACCAATGTATCCTGCATTACATACACATACGTAATTTACACCATCCGGATTACGATGACAGTATGATTGAGAATGGCATTGTGAACATTGAGTAGCTGTTGGTGCTGCTGGTGGTTCTTCAAAGTCGAGCGGCTGTTGTGGAATAACGGGCGTGTGTTCTGGTACACAGTGTTCACCGTGCTTGATATAGCCTAAAATTTGGTTTAATATTAAGGTTTTTAAACAAGATATAATTTTGAATTTTAATTTTCGCGCCAAAGTTAAAAATTGTTGAATCCTCAGCTCATATGCCTAAAATCATTAAACAAAAAAGTATTTAAAGCTTACCAGGGTTGCATTCACACAAATAAGCATGAGCTTCATTGTTGTGCACCAATCTGCACTGGGCATTAGCATTACAAGAGTAGTCGTTCCTTGGATCACATTCATTATCAACCTGAACGCACGATTCGAATCCATCACCTCTGTAGCCATCAGCACAAGCACAATAGAAGGTAGGATCATTGTTGTCAACAATTATACATCGACCAAACCGATGACATTCCGACTGATCACTACAGGCTTTCTTGGCAACAGTTCGAGGCGGCTCTTGAGGTACTTGGTGAGCTGCACGGTCTGGAGATGCTCCTAAAAATAAGGTTTATTATTTTTGTCTTAGTTTTTTGTAGAACGTATAATAAAACAGCAAAAAAAGACGAATAAATAAAAAAATACTAATTTTAAAATATTTTTCTGCTTGATGTCATGGATAACATCATAACTTCATGACCACCTCACCAATCAACACAACCTTTTTGAAAAACTTATAAAAATACCTTCAGAGCATAAAAATACGAAAAACATCAAAATATTTGATTAAAGAAAACCACAGCATCAAAACAATCAAAAAATAAGAGAGCTGACCATGAACAACATCACAACTCAAAGTGAAAGCAATTTTGTAATACAAGATCTTCAGAAAATAAGAAACAGACTTTGCTGATCACAATAACACCAAAAGTTTCAAGAATACCTTTTGAAAATCACGTTTTACAGCTATTTTCAAAAGCAACATTGAAGCCATGAATAATATCGAAGAAAGCAAATGAAATTTAGTGTTCCAAAAACCAATTGTAAGTTAACACAAACCTAAACATACTAAAGATGGTTCCACACTATTTAAATTTATCAAAGAATCTCATTGAAGTTCCGTATTTTACCTTGAACTACCAATAAACATGTATTTCCTTTCGCCGAACTGCCGCAACAACAATTTTATACGCTGCAACCTGCGCGACCATCTTATACGCCACAATCTGATTTTCCCACAAGTTGTTTTCGAATTTCGAAGTTTCGCGCTTTTGGCCATCTTTGTTTTTGTATTCGCGACAGTTTTTGTCACGATTTCCCTCGCGGCAACAAAATATATTGAAAATAGGGTTTGCCGGTCAAAGAAAGGTCAGTTCACTCATCGAACACAGCTAGTAGTATGTTCTCCTCAGCTCACCTTCTGCTTCTGGCTCTTGCCGCATCGACTGGATTGGCCGCGTTCTCGTCGGATCAATGCGTTTGCTCGGACCTGAAGCCATGCTTGGACAAAGTCAAGTCCACGGTGCCCAAATGTACGGAATACTGTTCGGTGAGTTGATTTTGTTATTGTTTTCTGTTTTTAGCGATAAGATGGAAGTTCTGGGTTTGGATAGGAATTTTTGATGGTTATAGGTAGAATAGGATCTTTTCTTTGAGGTTCAAATTTTTTTGGGTTGATTTCAAGTTATTTTTGGAACATTATATTGTTTTAGTTGTAGTAAAGTCAGGTCAAGGTAAGATAACATAGATTTGGTCCTTTTCCTGGACTTTTTGAGTCTTTTTGTTAGCAGTATACCAGGTTTAGATTACTGAGAAGGTTTTAGATAGAGATTGAGATAGTTGTCGCTTAATTTGAAGTTTTTACTATCAGATTTCATTGAGGTACGTCTAGCTTTATCGTTCATGTCTAAAGCAATGTTTTTTGTCATAAATTCTATGGTTTTGTGACAGTTTGAAACTAAGAATAGTTTGGAAAGACAATTAACTAGCTTCTCGATTAAAAATAGTTTGCGTATCACTTATGTTTAAGCTTCTTTGATAAATTTTTGTTAAGGTAGATCTGTTTAATGGTTGGTCTCCATAACACTGTTTTCCGTTGTAATTTCTGCAATTGCTGGTAGCTTGAGTTTTAGAATAGCTTTATTAGATAATTGAGTAGCTTTATCATTAAGAATCACAGGAATATAAGTTGAAATCATGTAATTCTAGCAAAAAGTTGAGATGGCTTTATTAGTTCAAGGATAATATCATTTTTACGATATGGCTGACGATATGGTTTTTCTTATCCCTTTTGAGCTTTTGATTTTGTTTTCAATGTTTTATATATTTGATTCTTATTTTTCCAATTTCAGCCTCAACTCACTCAAATTGGTGTCAACCTTGACGAGGCCAAGAAGTGCACAGATTACTACAGCCCTGAATTCGATGCTACTGTCAAGTGTATCAAGGAGGAGTTCTCGAACAGTTGCGCCCAGAATTCATCCGACGCCAAGCACGATATCCAGAAGCGCGATCCCAACACCTTGAAGTTGGCCGTCCTCTCCGAGCTCAACAAGTGGATCACCTACAACGCCCCACAATTGAAGCAGACCATTGCTCAGTCCCTCCAGTTCATCATCTGCACCAAGAAGTGCGTTGACATCAGAACCTCGAAGTGCGCTGACGGATTCAACTGCGTATTGGACCTGCCTTCCGACCAGGATGTGATCAAGGCTGCAAAGACTTGCATCAGCAACAACTGGACTACCGCCAAAGCTCAGGACTTGTGCAACTGCTTCTCCGAGTCTGGATTCCAAAAGCTGGCCCCAGTGTGTCCCAAGATTCAGATCGAGCCCGCTCAGACCCGGTTCGTGCCAAGGAACGTGACCTGTGGGAACGTCAACTAGATGTACTACTTGTTATGGTCTTCTGGAGGTTTTTTGGTCTAATTTATGTACTATTTGGTCTACATTAGGAACAATTTGTCTTCTTTAGGTACTCTTTGTACTCTTTAGATACTTTGTCTTATTTTAGTAACTGATTGTACCTAATTTAGTCTGAAAAGTCTTCAGAACCTCACTGTATAGATTAACATTAGGATTTTTTAAAATATTGTCAGATTTTTAACGGATTATGAATCCAATTTGTATATTTTTACATGTTCAACTGTCTGTAAATACTGTTTAACAGCTTATATACCTCACTACAATAAACTTTTATACCTCAGACTTTGGATTTCGGGCTGTTTTTGGGGGAGAGGGCTTGTTTATCTCAGAATCTTTGAGTTTTTGTTGGTTTTCGTTGGTTTATCAGGTTGATAACTTGAAAATACTGTGCTCTTCTTGTCGAAAAATATTTAGAAAATGATGTTTTGTCTATTTCGATTCGCTATCTTGAGTATTTTGGCCGAAAAACCCATTCTTCCTATACCTACATCAATATAATCTTCTTTCCCTATATCAACATCAATACGTCAACAACTTTAATCTACCTTGTCCATAAAGCCGTCGATACTCATCATAATCCACACACCATGTTCCATTCCCTTCGAAGCCTTGAGTACATTGACATCTGGCAGCCGGTTCCCTCTGCCCTGTGGCTACACAAATAGCGTGTCGATGACAGCCCAGACTGGATTCACAAGTCTGTGGAGCTGGTCGGTTCTGATCCAATACACATGTTGTACCATCACCCGAGAACGGTGGACGACATTCACAGCGATAGTATCTACTGTGAGCGTTGTAGACACATTGAGCGTTCTCCGAGCATTCCGCGTCGTTTCGGCAGACTGCGGCCGTGGAATCGACGTGACGATGTTGTTCTTCGTGTTGTAGTGGGATACAATGAACACCGTTACCGTGGTAGCCGTTTCGGCACACGCAAATGTCCTGAAACGTCAAAATTTATAAAACATTTAAATTTTTTTTTCAAATATTAAAAACCGCAATAACTTTGTTTACAACGATAATGATTGCAAACAGGGCCAGGCGGGGACTTTTGGTCTGGAGGCAGGGGTCCAAAAAATCGGCACAGGGACCTGTGCCGATTTTTTGCGACATTTTTTTTCCGAAAATCCACAGGAGGGACTACGTTCAACTTTTTTAAACGTAGTCCCTCCCCCGTCCCCCCCCCCTCTCGCCCGGCCCTGATTGCAAAAACTTTCTGTACAATTTGAAAAAAAGCATAAACTTTCTATAAATATTTTTTAAAATTCAGCCAAATAAATGATTGCACAGTGCAAAATTTTTTAAAATCTGCACCGTGCAGTCTAATTTTTTAAAATTGCAATACCTTTCTTTACAGGCAAACAAAAAAAACGAAATTTCCAAGCAGAACGAAGGCTAGCGAGAACTTTCTTTACTAATCAAAAAAATTGCAAAAACTTTCTTTCCAAGTATTTTTAAAGTCAATTTTAAAAAATTTGACTGCACCGTGCGAAATTTTATAAAATCTGCACCGTGCAAGCTAAAATCAAAAAATTTTTTAAAATATGAAAAAACTTTCTTTCCAAAACCCTTACCTGTCCTTGTTCATTTTGCCTACATTCAGCATGTTCATGACAGACGTGACCTCCACATCGGTCCACATCATTCTCGTTGTTCTGAGGTTCAGGTGGTCCACAATGATTCACACCATCCCCCACGTACCAGCCACGACACTTACAATAGGCAGGTTGACCGTTTTGGCCGAATACACACTCGCCCCATTGATGACATTGGGAATGCTCGGTACAGGCGGTACTGCCAGCTGGTGCTTCTGGTCCTGCTTCGCCTTCGGCTAAAGATTTCGAACTTTTTAAAAATGGCAAGGACTTTCTTTACAACTTTTAAAATGGTAAAAACTTTATTTACAAAACATAAAACGGCAAGAACTTTCTTTACAAAACAAAAAATGGTAAAAACTTCATTTACAAAACATAAAACGGCAAAAACTTTCTTTAAAAAATCTTAAAATGGCAAAAACTTTTTTTACAAAAGAAAAAATAGCAAAAACTTCCTTTACAGATATTTTTTAAGCCACAAATTGGTTGCACCGTGCAAAAACCAACACAAATTGTACCGTGCAACTTCTTTTTCGAGATTTGTAATAACTTTCTTTACAAAGTAAAAACCAATATGAAATTGTCAGAAAATACAAATACTGTCAAAAATCTTTCTTTACAAATCAAAAAACCGCACAAACTTTGTTTATAAAAACTTATTTTTCAATTTTCGTCAAAATTCACTGCACAGTGCAACCATTTTTACAAAAAACTATAACTTTCTTTACAAAAAAGGAAATGACGTTAAATTTTAAAACGAAGCCAAAAAAGTCATATACGTTCTATACAAATCAAAAAATTGCAAAAACTTTGTTTACAACTGTCACTTTTTATAAATTTGAAAAATTGATTGCACTGTGCAAAAAATATTAATTTTGCACCATGCAACTTCAAAAACTTCAAAAAAATGTTTAAAAAACAAGCCTAAATCAAGTATAAAATACAAAAAATCGTCACAAAAAAATTTAGACCAAAAAGTTGTCGCAACTTACGTCGGCAACTCCTGCCATTTCCAATAAAGCCTTGGCGACAAGTGCAAGTGTAAGATCCTTCTGAGTTTTCACAATTTGCATTTCTATCACATATTCCCGGCTGCAAACACTCGTTTCGATCCACACATCTGAACTGAACTTGTACTGAACTGTCATGCTCATGCTGGTACCCGCTTTGACATTGACATCTGAAGTTGCCTTCTTCTGACACACACTCCATGTGAGGCTCAGTACAGAGGTGGTTGCCTGAACATGGGTTCTGAAACATGAGTAATGTAATGATTTAAAACCGTAATCTACCCTACAATACCCTACCCTACACTACCCTACCCTACCCTACCCTACCCTACCCTACCCTACCCTACCCTACCCTACCCTACCCTACCCTACCCTACCCTACCCTACCCTACCCTACCCTACCCTACCCTACCCTACCCTACCCTACCCTACCCTACCCTACCCTACCCTACCCTACCCTACCCTACCCTACCCTACCCTATCCTACCCTACCCTACCCTATCCTACCCTACCCTACCTTATACTCATCTCTGGTCTGCCGTGCTTTGCCCTACCTTGCCCTCTGTCATTTCCTAAGCTACCGTACCCTACACTGCCCCTATACCTAATGCTATGCCCTGTCCTACTTTGCCCTCCCACGCCACGCCATACCCTCTGCCTTGCTCTGCCCTGCCCTACCCTACCTGGAATTGCCCTCCCCTTTCACATCATTCTCAGCCCAGCCCTGCCGTTCCTCGCCCTACCCTACCACACCCCTACCATTACCCTTACCTGCACTGTTTCGACCCGTTTTGCTCTGCTTTGTCCAGCCCTACCCCACCTTTCTAAAAGCAAAAAAGTTTTAAAATTTCAAAAAACTACCGTACCCTTCTCTTGCTGTTAGCATTGGCCGAATCTTCTTCGTTATAGACCACACTTTGGCTACCGAACCTCAAGGTTTCATCCTTGGCCTCGAACACTCCACTAATCCTGTCAGTATGTACCATAAAGACAGCACTACTGGTCGCAAACGAACACTCATCGTACTTGATCTGCGTATCTACCGTAACCCGGTACTGTGACTCTACCGAATCGGCCGTTACTGCTACGTGACGGTCGGCGTAGCTTCGCAGACGACCGGCTTCTGACTTGGTGTACTTGGCGTCAAAGTCGGTGAACTCGATGGTGGCACCATACGGAAGGTCGGGAATGGTACCGCTTACGGTAACGTCGACTTCCAGATCAGAAGACTGAGGCTTTGGTCGATAAAATTGCTTGATGAAGAGTTGGGTCTTATCGCCAATGAGTACGGTACTAGTCACGTTTAGCTTGCCACCTAAAGTTGAAAAAGTAATGGCATTACGAGTACTGTAACAAAAATATCAAGAACTTTCTTTAAAAAATATAAATTGGCAAGAACTTTTTTTTAAAAACAAAAACTAGCAAGAACTTTCTTTACAAAACAGAAAACGGCAAGAACTTTTTTTACAAATCAAAAAATGGCAAGAACTTTCTTTACAATCGTCATTTTCTCATTTCTAACCAGAATTTTCACTGCACTGTGCAAAAATTTTAAAAAATCCGCACAGTGCAACCTCATTTTTAAAATCGCGATTACTTTCTTTACAAAATCCGCAATGGCAAGAAATTTTGTGACAAAGCAAAAAATGGCAAAAACTTTCTTTACAACCCAAAAAATTTCCAAAACTTTATCCAAAAATGTCATATTTTGAAAAGTTGTCATAAATCGACTGCACTGTGCAAAAATAATAAAATGTACGCACAATGCAAATTTTTTTTCAAAAAAATTTTTAAATTTCAAAATTAAATTTATCTTACCAGTCAATTGAATTCCATTCAATGCGTTATGACTCTCCACTTTGGCAAACAACCAATCATTAATATTGGCAATTCCATCCAAAAACTGCATACTGTAGCCAAGAGTCGACGACACTCTAGGTATGGTGGTATGTTGTTGGCCAGCATCTGGTGTGATGTACACGTAGAATTCGGTTTTTTCGATTTCATTTCCATTTACCGCACCTTCCAAGTTACCATTGACTCGCACTGCCGTCGCTGCAAAAATCAATAAATTTTGTGGCTTTTCGTTAGCATTCTTCGAAAAATCAATATTTTAATTTATATTATGTTACGGAAAAAGTACGCGTATTTTACAAAAAAATGCTCAATTTTAAAAATCCGATACTCTTATGACATTTCGTCAAACTTTTCCAAAAATCCAATACTTTTTGTGACATTTCGTTATAAATATCAAAAATTATACATAAAACGATAATGCAGACAATCCTATTTTACACGAAATTTCAATTTTTCAAAATTTGATATTTTTGTGACATTTCGTCAATTTTCTCAAAAAATCAATAAGCTTTGTGGCATTTTGTCTATTTTGTAACTAACCTTATTTTTTTCACATAGAAACATAAAATGCATAATAAAATAAGTATAATAACAAAAAATATAAATTTAACACCTAAAAATTAAGTTTTTGAAAAATTCCAATAAAATTGTTGACATTTCGTTCACTTACATTTAGCGAAACATTGTTTTCCGTTACCCAAAAAGCCTTCAGCACATTTACAGCAATACCCCGGTCCATACGACTCGCATCTCGCATCGTTGTGACATTGTTCGTGTTCAGCGGCTGGAGTGGGTGAGCAGGTCAATGCACCGCCCGAGGGGGTGTTTTGGTTAGTGACAGCCGGTTGGTAACCTAAGTTTTAATATTAAAAAATTTGTTTGTAAAATACAACCAATTTAATCCAAATTTCACAAAAAAAAATTTTAGAACTTCAAAAAAAGTACCATTGGGACTATAACGAGGACCAGACGGGTCGGCACAAACACATAAACGACAACCGCGACTATCGACCGGTCGAGAACAATGAGCCGGACAATTTTCACCGTATGGGTCTGGTGGACAGTCTACAAACAGCACATATACAACACGATTACACATATTTTTTACGATTTATGTAATTTGACGAAATGTCAAAATCAATATTATTGATTTTTGACATTTTGTCATAGAGTGTAAAAGTGAACATAAAAATAAAAAAATAGAAAAATATATCACTTTTACGTCAAATAATAGTTTTATTTTTAAATTGTCCATGTAACGAAGTGTCAAAAACCAAATTATTGATTTTTGACATTTCGTCAAAACTCCTAAAATCGAAAAATTTCAAAAACAAATACAATACCCTACCTTTGGGTTGTTCGACGTCTTCTTCTTCGTCACTCAATTCGTCGTATTCCTTCTCCATTTCTTTATAATCATATTCTTCTTCCTCTTTTTGGCCGAGCTCCGGCTTTCCCACCGTATAGTAGACGTACAAGCCTTTTTCGCCCAAAAAGCCCAATCTGAAAAAGATAATTTAAACGATTGTAACATGTTTAGGTTAAAATTAACCTTTTTTATTGTGATTTTAGTACTCTTATAGCAAAATATTCATTTTGAGACAACTTATACGATGAAAGGTTTTTGGACATATTTTCAAAAATAAAAAAGATAATGACCAGAACCGTATGTGAACCGTAGTTTACCAAAAACAATACCCATTAAGAGTCCGAGCGGCTTCAGTGCCAGAATTGAAGCCATAAACCGTGTCTTGTCCACGACCCCAGAAGCCAATTTGAGCGAACTTCCCACCCGAGTACGCATAGTCCAGCTTGGAATAAGTGAAAATGGCGTATGATTGAGAACCGTCAGTTGCCAGACCAAGCTTAAAATAAATAATTTTTTAAATTTAAAAAGATTAAAAATTTTAGGTACCACCACGAAAAACCCTGATTTTTGGCATTCTGCAACAGTTGCTAAAAAATGATAATAAATACCTAAAATAAACCAACACTTGCTTAAAAGCTTATTTTTTTAAATACTCACAAAAATTTTTTAATTTTAGGTCCCACCACGAAAACCCTGATTTTTGGCATTGTGCAAAACAAGCCTAAAAATTATAAAAAATAGTTAAAAATGACGAAACTGGCCTTAAAAATCCAATTTTTAATTTTCAAAACACGATTTTAGTCCCACCACAAAAACCTTCCCTACCTGAAAAGTGTTGAGACCATTTGAGCCAGCTCCAGCAATGTCCTCCCAAGTGACCAAGATGAACTCGGTAGCTCTGAAATCCCGAAGATCGAAGCCTTTCCTCATTTTCCGAGTGATATTCCGGTCCAATTCAGAATTGGCATAGTCCATTCGCCAGTAAATGTTTCCGGCCGTGGCTTCGAGGTAGTACGGGGCGATGACATTCTTGTTCTCCAGGTCGTCAAAACCTAAAACAATATTACATTGAGGATGTTTTTAAAGGGATAGGAGCAGGTATGTATTGTAAAGAAAGTTCTTGCCATTTTATGTTTTGTAAAGAAAGTTCTTGCCATTTTTTGGTCTGTAAAGAAAGTTCTTGCAATTTTATGTTTTGTAACGAAAGTTCTTGCCATTTTATGTTTTGTAAACAAAGTTTTTGCAATTTTTCTAACTTTTCACTGATCAAAATCCCATCCTTACCATTAAGTGGCGTTTCGAAGCTGACAGCACCATGTGGACTAATGTAAAACTCATCGTATCTTTCGTTGAACAGCGCGAACGGCGCCCTCAATACCATAGCCACTGGGTCATCGGCGAACGGAATAAAGCTGTCCCCATAGCCTTCGCCATACGGTATGAGATCACAGTAGACATTATTGAACAATAACAGTAGAACACCAAGATATGTTCGCATTTCGAGTGTCATAACACCATTGGAGGCGGAGTTTGGATACCAAGGATATTGTTTTAGGTACAAACAGTTGGTTTTTAGATAGAAGGTTGAAGATTACTGTAGTTTATGGTGAAGATATGGTAGAAAAAATGTCAAAATGTAATGGCAGGGTTCTGAAGAGTAGTTTTTTGTAAAATACGGTTTAGCCGAATTCAGAATAAGAACGTTTCGCCACTTTTACCCGACCTTACACTAGGTTTTCGGTGGTTTTTTGGCCTAAAACAAGTAAAAACCTTATTTGTTTCACAATTTTTTGATAAAATAGGCAACGCATTATCACAACAAGATATATATCTACATTTTGAAGTACAATTCACAAAGTAGAATACGAAAAAACGATCAGTTTTGCCCTTTTTCGCCGGCCTTTCACTAGGTTTTTGGAGGTTTTTTGACCTAAAACAAGTAAAAATCATATTTTTTCCAAAATGTTTTGATAAATAGGTAACGCAAAATCAGAACAAGATATATATCTACATTTTAAGACCAAATACATAACACAGTCTTATAAGAAACGGTCAGTTTTGCTCTTTTCCCCGACCTTACACTCGGTTTCGCTTGTTATACGGTCAAAAATAAGTGTAAACGCCCTTTTTTCTTAACTTTTTTGATAAAATTAGTAACACATAATCACTACAACATAAAAAAACATCATTTACAATACCATGCCCACTCACAATTTATAAAAAATGGCATTAAAGTCTAAAAATAGCCTCCAAAATAGTAAAATTCATCCAGTTTTAGTAAACCTAGTCTAATATAAAGTCAATTTCTGAAACAAAAACAAAATTTTTGTGAAAAACTAATTCAAGGTACTGTCACAGATGTCTTAAACAATCACTGGAGTCGTAATTTATATTGTTCGAATTGATTAGAATCCGGAAACTTTTGGAAAACCGCGTAACATCTGGCACAGAAGAAAAAATAATCAAAAACACTTTTTTTGAGCCAAAGATTGGTTTGTAGAAAAAATTCTTGCCATTTTATTGTTTCTAAAAAAAGTTATGGCATTTTTGAAAAAAAAGAGGTTGCACAGTGCAGATTTTTATAAATCTTTGCACGGTGCACTCCGTTTTTGGATAAAAAACGTTGGAAAACCTATTTGTAAAGAAAGTTTTTGCCATTTTTTGTTTCCCGTTGGAAAACCTATTTGTAAAGAAAGTTCTTGCTATTTGATGTCTTGTAAACAAAGTTTTTGCCATTTTTTGTTACAGTACCCTTAATACCCTTAGTTTTGTAAATTCAGGTGGTGACCTGAAAGAAGGCCCACCAGACCCGGCCCAACTCAGTTTAAGACTGAACCAAAGAAACCTTGGAAGAAGCTGGGCCGGTACATGTGGGCCAAGGGTGGTAGGCCCCAAACCAAGGTTGTAGAGGCACAGCTTAGGCCCCGCAACTAAAGATTTGACTTGGGAAAAGTGTAAAACAAATTCTGATGTTAAGGTAAACGTGAGCCCAAGAGTCAGGGTCTAAACCAATTTTCAACCCGTTGGATGGACTAAAAAATCAGGCCTAGACCGGTCCCTTCTACAGTCTTACCATGCAGGCTTTTTCCGATTTTTCACCAGCTTTTTTGCCATTTCCCACCATACCCTCCCCTCCCTGTTTTTAATCAAAACGGCCTTCTTACACTGGTACAAAGAAGAACCCTTTACAATACAACTGGTCAAAAACGGCCGAATCGTCGTTTTGGTCACTTTAAATCATTCGGAAAACAAAAACACTTTCAGGGATTGGTTTCAGGACAAATAAAATAAAAATCGGAAGAAATCCGTAAAGGCCTTCACACAAAACTTTGACGTAAAAGGTCAACAATCCCGCTATTTGAATACGAAAAAGTTTCTGCCAGCCGGAAAAGGGTTTTTTACAGAAAATTTTTAAAAAATTTCTATGAAAATGTAAAAAAAAATTTAAACTTCAAAAAATCAAAATTTCAAAAAAAATTTTTTTTAATTTTTTGAAAAATTTCATAAATTTAAAATTTTAACACGGACATTATTAAAATTGAATTAACAGGCCTAAATTCCGTTATATAAGCCTAAAAATCCCTTTCTAAGCATAAAATCCCCTAAACGGCCTAAAAATCACTTTCCAAGCCTAAAGCCCCGTAAAAACAAATAATTTTTTAAGCATAAAACCCCTTAAAAAGCCTAGAACTCATTTTCTAAGCCTAAAACCCCTTAAAAAGCCTAGAACTCATTTTCTAAGCCTAAAACCCCTTAAAAAGCCTAAAAATCAGCTTCTAAACCTTAAGCCCCCTAAAATGCTAAAAAAATCTCTTTCCAAGCCTAAAACAGCTTAAAAAGCCTAAAAATCATCGTTTAAGCCTAAAACTCCTAAATAAGTCAATTTCTAAGCCTAAAAACAACTCGCAAGCCTAAAATTTTAAGGTTCAGTTCACAAAGGAACCATAAATTGACAAACCCCCAAAATTAAAGTGAAAATAATGAAAATTTAGGTAATAACGATGAAAGAAAGATGCTAAAGATGATAAACATAAACTGCGAATGTTAAGAAAACGTTCGGTTTTGCGCTCAAATGAATCAGCGGTATGCAAATTAACCATAAAATCAAGTCGAGAAGAGCCTTCTCTTTGCTAGCATATTAAAGATAACAGAAGGGGGGAAAGGGGAAGGGGTGGTAAAAAATCAAATACAATTTTTTTTTGAACTATGGCTATAGCTAAGAGTAGGACTAGAACTAGAGCAGAAACTGGGCCTAGGGATAAGGCTAAGCTAAGGCTAAGCTAAGGATGGGCAATAGCTGGGCTATGGCTGGGCTGTGCTAGAGCTGAGCTAGGGCTGGGCTACGACTAAAACTGCGCTAAAGCAGATTTAAGGCTAAGGCTGTACAGTTGCTGGGATATGGCTGGGCTGGGATAGAGCTAGGCTAAATCTTTGCTAGAGTTAGACTACGGCTGAGCTAGGGCTGGGCTAGGACTAGGCAGAACCACAGCTAAGCTAAGGCTGAACTGGAACTGAGCTAGAGCTGAGCTTAGACTAGAGTTACAGATAGGGCTAAAGCTAGGGCAGGCTCATTACCTCGAACCCTAATCATGCCATTACCAACTCAAAACAAACCCCTGATCTCCCCCTACTCTACCACAACATAAGGTATTTCATCATGGTCGCCCTTCCCAATATTTACCCCACAAACCCCCAATAAACAATGGCACTCGTGGTGTGCGGGCTTTATTGGCGCTATAAATCATTAATACGAAGAAAGTTGGGCGTCGGTGTTTTCGGCGCGAAAATATGCTAATTTATTGAATCGTGTCAAAGGAAAAATCATTATTATGGGTTTTTGAAAAAGTAAAAAGGGTTTTAGAGATCTTGCCCTACCCTACCCTACCCTACCCTACCCTACCCTACCCTACCCTACCCTACCCTACCCTACACTACCCTACCCTACACTATCCTACCCTACTTTTGCCTATTTAATTTAGATTTTTTACCCTACCACACCCATTTACATAACCACGCCCATACTTTCTCATATCGATACCCATAACCTTACTCATAAAAATGCCCATGCCCAAACCTTTCTTTACCCTACCATGCAGATGCATTCTCCTACTAAAACCGTTTTCTACCCTACCCATACTAAACCGTGCCCATGCCCATATTTTTCCCTACCCTACTATACCACCCCATACCCATAGCCCGCGCCTACCCACACCTCTGCACATGATCATGCCCATAGCCATGTTAATAACTTTCCCTACTCTACCCAATCCGACGTTACCATACTCACACCTCAAACTACCCTACTCTACCATACCTTACCCTGCCCAACTATACCCATACCGTAACCTACCATATCCATACATTACCCTGCCCAACTATACCCATACCGTAACCTACCATACCCACACCTTACCCTGCCCAACCATACCCATACCTTTTCCCACCCTACCCTACCCTAACCTATAGCCATCTACTCATGCCAAACAATACTATACTATAACAAATGACCAAAAAGAAACGTTTGCTACAAACAAAGTTGAGAAACGGATGTTTAACAAAAAGAAAGTGATTCAGAAGACAGTTGGAAATGGCATGGGCTTTGATTCAAAGCTTGCAAAAATGACTGCGAAGAGATGATTAAAAGAGTAAAAAAATTAGAGTATTACCCTACCGAGAAACAAAAAATAGAATATTACCGTACCGAGAAACAAAAATTGAAATGTTACCCCACCGCGAAACAAATTACAATGTCCGAAATCGTAATTTCAGTCTGGATTGTTCGCATTAAAGGCGAGACGGAACTATTTGAATATTGTCACTTTTCCAAACGCATAAATTGCGCTTATTCGGCGTACAAAAATGACTTTTTCCAGCCGGTTAAAGGTTACTTTTTCGTTTCCTGTCTAGCCAAAATTGGCTTTTAAAAAATGTTTTTAAAGCTGAAAACGAGGACAATTAAGCCCATATTTTATAAGTTAAGCCTAAATTTCATTTCTTATAAAAACTAAATAGCTTAAACTTGAACTATATAGTAAGTACATGTAAATCCTGTAGTCTAAACCTAAATTCTACATCTTAAGAATAAAATCCATAGCTTAAGCCTAAATTTTAGAGCTTAAACCTAAACTTTAAAAGCTTAAGCCCATACTCTATAGTATCATTACAATTTTTATAGCTTAAGCCTAAACTCTATAAGTTAAGCCTGAATTCTGTAGCTTAAGCCTAATTTACTTCCTTACGCCTATACAGGGTGCGACAAAAGTCCCCGGACAATTTAATGTAAAAACCAAGCCTAACACGAAAGCTAAAAGATTAAAAATTAAGCCTAAAGATTTAAAAAAACTTTAAATTTAAAAAATTAAAAAATAAACCATAGGCTTACAAATTAAGCCTAAAAACTTTTTGCACAAAACTAAAACATGGACTTTTAAGCCTAATCTAGCAGTACAAGTTCAAGAATCTATTTCATTGGCGAAAATCTGTTGCAACTAGACTTGAAAGAGGGTCACTAGGTCCGGCCCGGTCAAAACAGACTTGAATGAACAGATCCGGACCGTGCGAGCTCGAGGATCAAATCTAAGTGTAGGAGAAGCCCAACTTGGGTCTCGCAAAGAAAGATTTAACTTGCAAATTAAATTTAAAAAGGATCAGTCCGGCATATGTGGGCTAAGACCTCGGATCTAAATCAGGGCCCGGTTCGTCAAACAGGTTGAAAAAACTGGTACCGCCCCTTTTACAACTCTATAATAAGCCTAAGGACTAAAATCTTGGCTTTTAACCCTAATTTAAAACTAAAAATTCGGTAACAAATTTTATATTACATTGCCAAAACCAATTGCAACCCCACCAAACCATCAATATTTTCCAATCAACTCGAACACCAAAAGTCGCCCAGTAAATAATGATAAGAGCAGCATCTTCTCGAATGACCCGTTGATAAGACCCCCATGGACACCATTCACAACATGTAACTCTTATCTCTGATGAAAGGTAAACAATCCACGACGTTTTTGATATGACAAGCCCATTATTTCTATTAAGTGACACTTTCCAAAATGTGTCAAAAAACTAAATTTTAAAAAGTTTTTATTTTGAGTTCGAAATTTGATGTTTTGTTTAAAAATCTGGAAATTTAGACTTTTCAGTGGAACTTTAGGTAATAAAAATATCAAAAGTATTGGCAAAATCAATCAAAATTCAGAAAAAAATATTTTGAAATTAAAAATTTTTACGTTTTAGCCTAAAATTCTTTATTTTACACGGATTTTTAAGAATAAAAAATCAATTTTAGGTAACAAATTTTACAAATTTCAAAAAATCTGAAAATTGTGAATAAAAATATTGAAAAAATTTTTAAAAAGCGCTTTAAAATGCTTTTTTAATCAATTTTAGCTAACAAAATTTCAAAAAATATTTTAGGTAACAAAATTCAAATATTTCAAAAAAATCTTCAAAATTTAAAAAAGCAGAGTTTAAACAATAATTTTTAATCCAAATTTCATCAATAAATAAACCTTACCAGCAGTTTTTTTAAATTTTGAGTAAGAAAATTTCAAAACAGATTTTAAGTCACAAAATTTTAAATTTCAAAAAATTTTTAAAATTAAAAAAAAATGAAAAAAAAACCTTTTAATCCAAGTTTCATCAATTTGACCTTAAAATGCCGGGTTGTTTCATTTTAGCTAATAGAAGTTTAAAATTTTGAAAACTTTAAAAAATTTTAAAACCCGTAATTTTGAAAAATAATTTTATTATTATCCTTATTTAGTAAATACTAATTACACAAAAATACATGTAAATTCACGGTAAGCTCACCACGGTTAACATAAATGTCTATAATAATATTAAATTGTTCAATTAATTCTGAGCCACCCAACACCGAAAATTTAATTTTTTTGAGGTGACATAGAATTAGTTAAACCAGCTGACATTAATATTAAATTGTTCAGCTAATTTTGAGCCCCTCAGCATCTAAAATTTGTTTTGAGAAGTGGCGCAGAATTATTTGAACAACCTAATAGTTTAAAAAAATGGCGTTTGACAAAACTTATTGCACCGAAAGGTTGTTGTTTGACTAGACTGGATTACAGGTTTTCGAAATGACATAGAAATTCAAAAACTATTAAATTTTAGACCTAAAATACGATTAAAATCGTATTTTGTCACTATAGTCAAGTGTCATATCAAAATTTAAAAAATTTTCAAATTTCAAAAAAAAATTTTAAATGACAAAATATACTAACATGTATCTCTTGAGAACACGTAGAATTCTCGAAAATGGCACACGGGTTGAAGTTGAATCAGAATGTATAAGTTTAGGTTATATTATAGTAGATTCATATTCATATTATAGTAGGTTGAATATCAGTTGTTGTTATTTACAGATTCGTCTTTGGCACGGTACACGCCCAAACTCTTGGCTGTTTCAATTACCTGTAATGAGTATTGTGTAAAATACGGGTTTTAATAGCTCCTTTTTCAATTTTATATTTGAATTTTAATGATACAGTAAACAAAAGACTATGATAACTGTAAAAAACATTATTTTATCAGAGCAAAGTGGAGTAAAGAAAGATAGAGCGTGTTGAGGTATAGCAGGGCAGAGTATGGTATAATAGAGTATGATAGCGTGGAGTAGATAGGGTAGGGTATGATAGTGTAGGGTAGGGCAGAGGTGGGTAGGATAGGTTAAGTAAAGTAGAGAAGATACCATATGGGTAAAAGCTACAGTACTTTAGTACGCAAAACTACAGTGCCCAATGAAAGAAGCTACCGTATCCCAGTAACAACGAAATTCAAATGTTACTCTACCCTACCTTACTCTAACCGTACCTCTTCCCCTATTCCTACCCAAAAACCCTCAATCTACAGTAAACAACCTACTACAATATCAACAGTATTATTAACAAACAATTTTATTTCAAATCAAGTACAAGAATCAAAACACCCCTACTACCATATTGAGTAACCGCACCCAAAAAATTTTTTTTTCAAACCCAACATAAAACTACAGTAACCCACCTGTTGAATCATGCTCTCCGTTTCCGTTTGCATTTTTACAGCCAGAGTGTACTGTGCTTTTAGAAGCCTAACGTTCCAAGCAAAGTTCTCACTAGCTCGTTGTGCCTTCTGACCTTTTAGGCCAGCTTCTTCACATTGTTGGCTTAGCTCCATATAACAGTCGGATATCTTGAAGGTTGCTTCACTCAACTTTTGAACTTTTTCGCCCATTTCCGTTTGAACACGTTCGCATCGTTCCAACAGCGATTCGAGGGAATTGTAGGTACGTTGCATTGCTTCTGGCAGCTCCACGTCTACTTTGACTACTGGAGAGTTGTTGTCATTTAAAGTGACGTAGAGGATGTTAGACTCGTGGTTCTTTAGGGGTAGGGTTGGGGCTGAAATAAGGTCGTAAAGAGAGGTGGAAAGATGGTTTTTGCTATTTTTGTAAAGAAAGTTCTTGTAATTTTTTTGTTTTGTAAACAAAGTTTGTGCACTTTAATGCCTTGTAAAAAAGTTTTTGCCATTTTACGTTTTGTAAAGAAAGTTCTTGCCATCTTTTGCTTTGTAAAGAAAGTTCTTGCAATTTTTTGTTTTGTAAAGAATGTTCTTGCCATTTTTATAACCTGCTATTAAGAAAAAAAGTGTTGTCGCCAATTTTCCTAACTTTTCCCTTTAAAAAACGACAAGACTTTTCTCCCCCCCCCCCTATAACAACAAAAACCTCATTCAAACTCACAATCCGAAGCCGCGCCAACAATTCTAGCGTGTAACAGCCGTAGGCCTTGTCGCATCGAGCCGGTTGGCCCGATTCCGCATTGTTCTTGAAATTCCGTCAGCGCTGACTCCAATTTATTCCTCATTTCGATCGATTCGATCAGTGGATCAGCAATCGATTTGAATAGATCGTCCGCGTTCTTGATTCCGACAAGCTTCATGCCGGTTTGAATGCGTTGTGCCTTTCGTTTCACTGACATTCCACGTTTCTTCGGCTTACCACCGCCACGACGGTTTGTGATGGCAACGTGAACGAATAACGTGCTGTTCTCCAACGGTTCTCCTTCGTTGTTGAGGAGGGGAATGTGGCGATAACCTGCAAGAGGAAAAATTGAAGAAATAAAAAAAAAGTTCTTTTGTTACCTAAAATCGCATTTTTACAAAATTTGTTACCTAAAATACCTTTATTTTAAACTTGTTACCTAAAATCGCTTTTTTCGGATATTGTTACCTAAATTTTACGTTTTTAAAAAATTATTGTCTAAATTCGCTTTTTTTAAAAATTTGTTACCTATTTTTTCTAAATTAGTTACGTAAAATTTCAGTTTTTTCCAAAGTTCTTCCCAAAAAAAAATCAAACTTTTCAAAAAATTTGTTATCTAAATTACACTTTATCAATTATTTGTTACCTAAAATTTCATTTTTTTCTCAATTTGTTACCTAAAATCACACTTTTCAAATTTGTTACCTAAATAATAAAAAACCAATTTAAATCTTTTCCAAGCTTCCTACAACAATAAAAATCTCCCACTTACCACTCTGCAAACACTCGAATGGAATCGTGTATTGCCCGATGAAGTCATCTCCAATATAGTCATCATCCAGTACCAGAAACCTCACCAATGCTATTTCAGGTATGCAAACTTCGAATTGGAAGCTTTCGTCAAAGTTGGGGTTGAAACTGTCATTTCGTACGGTCTTTGTCCTTTCCTCTGCGCAATCAGCCGGAATGCCAAAGATCTCTACCACAACAAAGGCGTCGGTAGAGTCGCCCTTGGCGGTGGAACCTCGTGGGCGTGGTAGTTGTTGTCCGCTGATAACGCGGAGGTGGAGGACTTGTGGAGCGAATGGCATTTTATCGACCGGTGAGAAGACCTCGTCCTGCATTATGGGCGGTTTGGCGACGAAGCCGCAGCCGCCGTTGGCCGCAAACTTGCCCTCTTGAAGGTCCATCATTAGGCCCGGGGTTTGGTAGTTAAGGGCGCAGAGGTTGACGCCAAAGTTCCAGAACTCTTGGGGGTTCATGTTGCTACTGTCGAGGCGGGTTATGTTGGGGGTGATGCGGAGGAGGAAGTTGCGGGTGATTTGGCCGAACATAGAGGCTGAGTTCTGCATTAAACGGAGGCAGGAACTCTCACAGATTGAGAGGAGATCTTTGTGGGAGGTCACTAAAGTTATATTATTCGTTACATAAAGAAAAAAAATAGCAAAAAATTTCTTTACAAAGCAACAAAAGGCAACAACAGTAAATTTTTTGTTGCTATCTTGTCATAACTCATAAATGATTTATACTTTGGGACCTGCGGGTGACAAGTTATACGATAGATGCATTTTTTCCATTATTTAAAAAGTTCTTGCCATTTTGTGCTTTTTAAATTTCTTGCCATTTTTTGCTTTGTAAAGAAAGTTCTTGCCATTTCTTCTTTTGTAAACAAAGTTCTTGCCGTTCTTGCCATTTTAACTTTTGTAAAGAAAGTTCTTGCCCTTCCCTTCCACTAACTTACAATTCCCCAAATCCGAATAAGTTACAGTATCCTGAATGTATTTTAGTTGTCCGAATGGTGGTATCAGTTCGAGTAGTTGAATTGTTAATCGTTGACGTTGTAGAGTAGCCGTCGATTCCACAAAATGGTCTTCCTCGTCTTCTACTGTGCCTTCGATTGGCGGTAGTTCGCCGGATTTGCTTTTGTAGCCATTTGATATCAAAATTATCTAAAATTTTTGGAATTTATTACTTAAAATATTAGTTTTGGGTCGTTTTGTTACCTAAAAGTTCAATTTTTGGCTATTTCGTTATCTAAAATCTCAACTTCTGACTATTTTGTAACCTAAAACACAAATTTTTTCTCAAACCCTTGCCTTATTCAAGAAATGAGCAGGAGTAGGTACATTGGTTGGATCAGTCCAATCAGTTTTATCAAACTTTGGCTGGTACAAGTAGTCGCCCAATATTGTCTTCAAACTCTCCACTAGTTTAATTTGCATATCGTCGCTTAAATGCACATCTAGTCGTAGAAACAATGGGTATTTCGTCTTTTCGAACGCCAGTTTTCGTACTGTTTCGAGTACGGCGGCAGCGGTTATGTGAGATGGCATGGTTGGGGTTCGACATACCATAGGTTCTTGAGATTCCGAAGGGTCTATGGGGTCCCAGAGGTTCACTGAAAAAGCGAAATTGCAACTTTAGTACCAGTGGTATCTGCAGTAACGTTTCTAGTACCATCGGTACCGATTTTAACATTCCTATTACCAGTAGTAGCAATAGTACCACTTCGCAAAAATATTTTCTAAAGTGTCAAAACATAAAATTTCTTATTTTATAGCATTTAAAGTCGATAAAATAATTTTTCTAAAGTAGTACCAATAGTACCGTTTTTCAAAAAGTGTACCAAATGTACTAAAATGTGGAAAACTGTTATTCTTGAACATTCAAACCAAAAACTGATCATTTTTATAAACTGGTACCAATGGTACTTTCAATCGTACCACTAGTACCATTTTTTCAAAAGTGTACCAAATGTGCCAAAACTTAAAAATCAGTCAAAAATACACCTTTTTTGCGTCCGTAAACACCTACTTTCAACAAAACGACAATTCCGCTTCAACGCAGTAATGTAGCCATCAACCGAGCACGGTCCTTGAGTCTGATCCTCGACCAAGTAGGTATTATACGAAGCCGCAATATAGTACTCATTAAACGGCCGCGACATATCGTGACAAACTTGAAAATGCTGTGGATCAAAGACTAAGCCAGCTCGAGATAGTAGATAACAGGTAAAGCCGTCTACGGTCATGCACTGCTTTTCACGAGCTTCTGGAGACGGCTCGTGAAGTTGGATCAGGTTCTCGCAAAACTTTCGGTCGATGAATATCATCTGGAATGGCAAGAACTTCTTTTACAAAACACAAAATGGCAAAAACTTTCTTTACAAGATAAAAAATGTGCAAGAACTTTCTTTACAAATCACAAAATGGCAAGAACTTTCTTTCAACCTACCCCTTGTTCAGTCTCCAAAAACACCTGTAAATCGTCGCAACTGAGGTAATCTTTGTTAGCATATCGCACCATTAAAAAATAGATTTCAGGTCGTGTACTTATATCTTTGTAGATCTCGATGAACTGCTCCTTGTTAATATGTCCTCGAGACGAACTGTCATTTTCCGCTGATGCTATAGCTGATGACTCCTGAATGCGAGAAAATTAAGTAACAAAAAACATTAAATTTATACGCTTCTTAGACGGTTTCAAAGCCATTTTCCTGAAAAACTAAAAAAAGCCAAAAATAGGATATTCTTCAAGCTCATTTTCCAAACCTAAAATAAGGCAAGACCGAGTCAAAATAAATTTCAATACCTTCAAAATAATCTCAGTTAACTATCCTGTCAGTTTCATATATTTTCATAACTAGTAACACAATGAAAATTGAAAAAACTTAAAGCCCACCCAAAGAAGTAGATGTACAACATGTTCAACGCGCCGTAACCTTGAAGTTATAGCTCAAAGATATCCAAAAACACCTTCAAGAATTACAAAAGATGTTGTTTTATCCATCCCATAACATATTCCATTCATTTAAACCAATTTTCACCATCAAAATTCAAACAAACATATTTTAGCTATACCTATATTAGATATCTTTCCGAAAATCGTCATATTGCAAAAACTTTTTTTTCAATACCACCCAAACTTAAGTAAACGCTTCAGAAGACTCCACAGATCGTTTTATTACCTTGACTTTCTGTTTTACTCTTCCTAATGACAACCTTGGATTGATTTCGCAGATGAGCCTAACAGTCGACTTCTCACTAATGTAGCCACGATTATCTCTGTCAGAGTTGTCAAACACTGATCCAAGCCATCGTTCGCGGATTGTAGCCATACTCTGGTTTACATGAGGTGTGTTTTCTTCTGAAATTTGACGTTTTAGAAGAAGTTTTGACCAAAAACCAATATTGTTGTAGATGCCTTTTTGTTTTACATTCAACAAAGCTAGAAATAACTGCAAACAAACGCGTTTTGCTTTTAAAATCTCAAAAATAAACTCAAAAAACTTTCTACAACAATATTTTCGCTCCATACATCTTCCTGAAACTCAAAACACTCAAATAAGGTAATTCTTACGCTTCTGTGAAGTTGTTAGCGCCATTAAACCAGTCACCCAGATGTTCGCATCGTCCGGACTAAGTGCTATTAAATCCAAACATTCGTATTGAGGTCCATAGATGATTGAGAATGCACATTCATCCTGAAAAAGGTCATTATTATCAAACTAAAATTCATTTTTCAACAAATTTTTGTTTTCCGATAAATTTGTGACACTTCGATATGATTTCCAATACTCTCTTGACATTTCGTAAAAATGAAAGTTTCTGATTTCTGTCAAAGTTTTCTGAAGTTTCTCGGATTACAGAGGTCAAGAAGTTTATATGACAATGTTTTTTAGCGATTTGATCAATTTTTAAATTTTTGAAAGATCTAGGCGTATATTTAGGTATGGTTCATAATATTGTGGTAAAACCAACCTGTAAATCGGAGTTGCTGTTCTCTGTAGCCCGCAATAGCTCGGTATTTCGACCAGTTCGCACTTCTTTGATTGAATCAACCGGTATTCGCGCTTTGTGAGGTTTTTTGTTTGTCGGTGTCCATCGTATATGGGATAAGTCCGCGTCCAACGTGAATATACGACAGAATTGTCGTACGTTCGTCCTTAGCTTTACCATCTCCGTGCCTTGTTGCATTATTTGAAGACAGTCGGCTACTGAAATAAAGGTTATTATATGTTTTATGAGGTTATGTATAGTGTTTCGTAAAATTATGTTATCCATGATTGGTTTGAAAGTAAGATATTATGTTCATGGTTAACATTGCGTGTCCTTTTTAGGTTTTTTATGTTTAAAAGATCCATGTGAATGTTCTACAGCTATTTTTTGATGTTTTAGATACAGTTTGAACTTATTATCTTTAAGAAACTTCATTTTATCTGGTCCGGTAAGCTATTTTTGTGGTTTTACAAATTTTAGGCACAAACAAAGAATGAAGGTGTGGATTTACATCTTATAGCCTTGATCAGAATCTACAGAGGTTTCTCAACGTTTTAAAGACTATTTAGATCCTTTTCAACTTGTTTTAGGTATTGAAATTACCCACACTAACTAGGCATACCAGTGTAATATAAAGATGATCTCAGACTTAGAAATTTCATTCATAAATTGTTGAAACTGTTCTTTCTGGTCACGAAACAACTTCGCCAAACTCTGTAGCACAATTTAAAATTCATAAAACACGTACTTTTATCCGACAACTATTCAAAACATCTCGATATAGATACCGACATAATATTCTTTTCTCTTCAAGTTCATAAATCCATAAAACCCGAGTATAATATGCTAATGCAGTCGGGACTTTACGTCAGTATTTTTCGCGAATTCATTAGCTTTTTCGGTGTCAGTTCCATCAAAAGAGTAATGCATTAACGGAAGTGATATGTACAACAACATGCATAATATAGGTGTGGGGAAGGGTTTGAACTGTGCTTTTGGACCGGAAAGGTGTTCGAGGATTAGACTAGGTGCTTACGGGCTTTGATTGATGTTTTATGGACTAAATTTGTTATTTTTTGGTTAAAGTTTTAGGCTATATTTTACAATTTTATGGCAATATTTTAGTTTTTAGTTTCATTTTTTCAATTTTTCAGCCAGTTTTCTGGCTTTTCATAAGCTGCGCAGTAAATTTTTTTATTCTTTATGATAAGTTAAAGCTACTTTTTTGAATTTTTAAGTGGAAAATTACTTCCACAAACCGAAATTAATGCTAAAACGTTCCAATGAGATCGAAAAAACGAGTAACCAAATTAGTATTCGAATTAGAAAACGTCCGAACAAAGTATAGTTCTAAGTCGATTATCCACGGTTTTTAAAAAAATAATATTATGGATAGTAAAAACTTGTTTTACATGCCAAAACAAAGTCATAGTAGACTGAAAGATTCACTATTTGTTACAAAAGAAAAAAAAATGAAAATCTGTACCAAACATACCATTTGAAACCTTTTTGTCTTGGTTTTGGGAGCAAAAGCTGACGGTTTTTCGACCGGGCGACTTTTGACGGCCGTCCCGCTTCCGAAGCGATGATCGTAATGTGTGATTTCGAAGGCTGAAATACAGTGTTTTACAATAAATGATTTTCAATAGGGCTAATGGTACTACAAGTAACCTTTTTTTAAAGATGATACTAATTTACCTTGTGGTTGGTTCTAGAAATATTTTTTTTGAAAATGTTTTTTGGCCGCCGAATTCAAAATTTTCAATAGTTCTAGTAGTACCACTAGTACCATTTTTTGAGCTCTTAATTTTTGATAATAAAATTTTAGTTTGAAACTTCAAAAAAATTTTAAAAACCCACTTCAGCGGATGATTAGCAGGCATAGTCGGCCGAGTCGGCGATGAACTGGCCGACTGGGACTGGCCAATGTTGCTCGGTATCGGCGGCATGTCGTTGGTACCATTGGCCGTTCCATTCAGTTTCATCCGACTTGGACGCAGCTCGGATGTGCTGCGATTCACGTTTGTCGCCACAATTTTGAATTGAAATTATTTGAAATAAGAGAAGAGATTTAACGATACCCACGATTTGCGGGCTTATTAGTAGCACCAGAAGCTAAAAAATAAATTTAGAGTTTTCGAAAATTTGTGAAACGATGACATTTGTCGCGACGGGTTATTCGAAACAGAAACTGATTTTAGAAGGAACACAGCTTAGGTCCCGCAACGAGAGATTGAATTGTAAAAACCGTAAGCAAACTTGAAAGGGCCCGGCCCGAAAGATTTGGCCCGGTCCCTTTACAGATCTATACAATACAGGTATATTACCACAAAAAACAGAAACTTTGCTTCCACAACCATAAAAATCTACCACTCTCTTCAATTCTAATACTATTCCTCACAAAACCCTCTTCAAACGAGGCAAGTACTGGTTAAGTCGAAGCGACTAACGGATTCACGTTTTTTGGATATATCATGATACTCATCAACAACATGTCATTTCCATTCGTTCGCAAAAACGAACAAATTCGAGACTCTCGACTCTGCCCTTAGGAGAATAAACTCTCACAACAAACAAAGGGGGCGGGGTCAGTCAAGTTCAATCTAATTATTACGGTAACTTGACGGCGGCGCGACAAAGTTTTAAAGTTTCTTGAAGGTGGGGAGAGAAGAGTGGAGGTGACGAGGTAGTTAGGGAAAATAGTGTGAAGTGTGAAGAGGTCAATAGAGAAAAGAGTTTTAGATGTAAAGAGGTTGTTAGAGAAAAATGTTTTAAAATTTATTAGGTAAATAGCTTTAAATCAGCTTTGTTTTACACTTTTTGCAAGTCAAATCTTTCTTTGCAGGACCTAAGCTGGGACTCTGGGGCCTTGGTTTGGTCCCGGCTGTCGGGCTCACATGTACCGGTCTGGCTCCTTTCAAATTTTGTTTTTGGGTCGGGCCGAAGCCGGGCGAAGCCTAGTGGGCCTCTTTTCAAATCTAGTCCTCCCCTACCCTCTAATAAAAGTAGCAGCGCTATCCCCTCTCGAACAAAGCCTTAAAATAAGCCTAAAAATAAAAAAAAACAATTTCATTTGAAAAGCATTTTACCGCGAATTAAGAAAAATGTTGTGCCAATCCTGGAAGTAAAATTTCCAAAGTTTTGATCCACCTCCAAACCCAAGAACCAATTAGTCCAAAAATATACGCGACAGCTTTAAAAGCGGAATAAAAAACTAATCAAAAAGGAGCCAGAAGACAGGAATAATCAGAGGCCGGAAAGGGTCCGGCTGACTCCTTGTTTTTCGAATTTTTTAATAATTGTTTTTCCTTTTCAATTACAATTATATCACACTTGTGAGTAATAGTGGACTAGTCTTTTGAGTAATATTGGGCTACACTTGTGAGTAATACTGCACTACACGTGTGATATTGGACTGTAAATTGGCTTTGAAAATTTATTTTTGGGTTTGAATTTGGTTTTTATGTATAAACGAAGGGGAATTTTGAAAACTTTGGTAAAGAAAAAATAAAGTTTAAAATTGATTGGACTAGCCCAAAAAAGCTCAAAAAATGGTTAGTGGACTAGCCAAAAAATGTGAATTCAAAAAAAAATTTATAATTTTTTAAATAATTCTGTGCCCCTTCTCAAGGCAAATTTCTGAGGTTGGGGGCACAGGATTATTTTAAAACCTAATACTTTTAAAACTAGCCAAAAAATAAAAAAAAATACAAAACCTTAGTCATTGTAGCCTTAGTTATACAATTTTACACAAACAAGCCCGTCAAGCCTAAAATCTAGTCCAAAAACTAGTCTAAACTAAAGAGTTCCTAAAATTATAAACATTATTACTCAAAAACATTCAAAATAGATTTGCAAAACCATGTCGCTAAAATAAAAGAGTATTATGTTGGAAAAGGGGGCAGAGGACGGCCTTGCGGATGGCCATAATTAGCTGTTGGTATCAGGTTGATTGGCCTAATTCCTTAAATTCCCACTGTCTTTTGCGCCTTATAAACTTTTTGTATTTTTGTTTTTTTTCTTGGGAATTTGTAGATGAAACTGGAATTTTAAGAGTTTTGTGTTAGTAGTAGAATAGTATAGTAGATCTCTTGTTATGGTAGAGGTGATAGGCGGTGGAGCGCTGTTTGATAGAGTAGATACAGTGCCGGAGAAGAAAAGACGCAATACTGCAAGGACAGGATAAAGAAAAGTAAGGTACACTACTAGGCAAGATACAGTTATAGTTTAGAAACAGTGCTTTATAATAGAGTAAATCGGGTACCGTATGGTAGGCTAGATTCAGTACAGCGTGATGGACTAGATACAGTACTTTATCTATTCAAAAATGCAGGACTGCGCATAGGCTGTAATATATTACTGTATAAAGGACTAAGTAATGCTCTATAGACTAGGTATAGTGTTGTGCTATATACCAGGTTCAGCACTGTATCGCAGATTAGATAAGGCATTGTACCATAATGCAGTACTGCGCCTAAGCTCCCAGGAATTACCGTCTAAGGTATAAGGACTATGTAAAATACGATGTATAAAGAACCAATTAAAGTTCTGTATTATAGACTAGATGGAATTCTGTACTAAGCGGTAAACTAGGTACTGTGTTACATGATAAACTACAATTTAAAGTAGCTGCATTGGACCAATTTTAACTTTCAGAGTAATGTAGGGTATAGTAGAACAAAAAACAACGTAGATGACGTTAAAACTGTATATTGTTCAAAACAACACCATTGCATGTTTTTCACTAAAAATAAACAAATTGAAAAGGCCCTATATTAAATTGCAAAGCCGCCAAAACACGAGCAAATTCTGTTGATTAATAAGGAAATTGCGAATTTATGACAAACATTCAAATATTTTTAGAGCATGAGAGGGGTTTCAAATTGGCACGAGGTTTGACTTTTGTTAACGTTTTTCTCATTACTACAGTAATGATATGTTTAAAAAAGGCATAAGGTCAGTATTGGTACAAGGTGAATATGTTTGGGTATTGTGGGTACAAGGTGAACATGTTTGGGTATTTATTATTTAAAGAAAGTGCTAATATATTGGTATTGCCAAAATGAAAAAAGAGGTAATACTCAAATTGTCACATTTCCAAGGGGTCAAAATTGAAATATACATTCAGATAAGCTTTAGCCCTAGCTCTAAGTCGAGCCATAGTTCTGGACCGAGCTCTTATACTAGGCCGAGCTCTAGCTCTAGGCAGAGCCCTAACTCTAGAATGAGCCCTTTTACTAGGCCGAGCCCTTGTATTAAGCCGAACCCTAACTCTAGGCTGAGCCCTAGCTCTGGACTGAGCTCTAGCTCTGGACTGAGCTGTTGTACTAGGCCGAGCCCTAGCTCTATACCGAGCCCTAACTCTAGGCCGAGCCCTAGCTCTAGGCCGAGCCCTATCGAGCTTTGTACTAGGTCGAGACTTAGCTCTAAACCGAGCCCTAGCTCTAGACCGAGCCCTAGCTCTAGACCGAGCCCTAATTCTAGGCCGAGCCCTAGCTCTAGGCCTAGCCTTATTCCATAGTCCTCACTTTAAAAACAGCATAGTCAAAAAATGTGAAAAATCGCGACGTCATCCCAAGCCATGGCTTTCGCTTTTTTGAGCTTTCAATTGTGGAACTGTAGCTGGCCAGGCCCGAAGCCGGATATCTGAATTTCCTGGCCAGGCCTCGTTAATTTTGCGAACACACAAAAGATGCGGGCCACGCAAAAAATTTCTTTACAAACGTTTTTACATAAAGTACAGTGTTGACGGCATCGTACTTTTGATTGGGTTGGGTAGGGTTAGGCTAAGGTGGGGAAGGGTAGGAAAGGCTAACGAGTTGGTTGGGCAGGATCCGGTAGCTGAGGGTTCAGTAAGGTAGGGTAGGGCAGGGCACGGATAACGCTAGACACAAATTAAGATAGGGCTTTTATTTGGTAGGTTAGGGTAGGATCGTCGTAAGAGTAGGGAAGACTAAAGTAGAGCTAATAGAGTAGCATAGGGTAGCTGAGGGTTCAGTAAGGTAGGGTCTGGCAGAGTAGAGCAGGGTAAAGTAGGGAATTTCAGAATAGTGTAGGCTATGGCAGAGCATGGGTATGGCTACGGCCAGTAGTGTTCGCTTAGAGTAAGTAGATAGTCCAAATTTTGACAGTTACTCATCTTATGGCATTTTTACGTTAATATGACGCTTATAATTTGTTACAGTAGCTGCCAATAGTACTAAAATAATCCTGATTAAGGCTTACAAGGCGTAAAAGCTTATGAAAATGGCGTTTTTACTTAAAAACGGTTTATAAATCACGTTTAAAAGCTATAAAAATATAAAAAAATAAGCGCCTAAAATAAAAAAAATCAAAAAGTTGTCCTTGCCGCAATAAAACATAAAAATCAACCCCTTATTTACAAGAAAAATATCAGAAATCAACCCCTAAACCTAAAGAAACAACACAAAATGACCCCGAACCCTGTCAAATTCAAAAACACGCCCCACAAAAATGAAAAACATTCGAAACAAAATTGAAAAATGATTTTGAAAACCCCTCTCCAAACAGTGGGAAATTGCCATGTTAAGTGTATAAAAATGTGTTAATCCGAAGGGACCGTTAAAGGCAAAAACACCCTCAAATCTTCCATGAAAAGAACCCCAGGCGACCGTTTTACTCGTTTCAGAGCTTCTTTCCCCCCTACTTGTTTTTCAGATTATAATAAGCCATAAAAAAACAAAAATTTGACCGGTTATTGGAGCGAATATTGGATGTGAATATTTTGGATTTCTAAATTTTTTCACTAAAAATTTTTTTTGAAAAAAAAGGTTGAACTTGGTCCCCCCCCTGTGGATTTTTTTTTCATAAAATTTTTTTCTTTCAAATTAAACTTATCTCTTCTCTTTAAGGTAAGGTAGAGTAGTGTAGGGTAAGGTAGGGTAGGGTAAAGTAGTGTGGGGCTAGGGTAAGCTACGAAAAAATTTTTTTTGAGAAATGGTTGAAATTACCCCCCCCCCTGTGG